TCATCTCTCCGTAGCTCTCATACTCAGGGGCCGATGCGGTGCATCTGATTGGCTACAAAAAGTGGCCCGAGCGTTGCGCCTTAATCGACGGGTTAAGGGATAGCACTTAGTCAAGAGTATGAGACCATATACAGCATTCGCAGAGTCGACGACGAGCGTCTCCTGGATCTAGTGTGCAATATATCAGAGTAGAGAATGTATAATATCCTTTATGGTGCATTTTTGACAGAGTCTCGATTCATTTGTCAATCCCAAGTTTCAGAACTACCTTTCCTCTTGCATGTCCGCCACTAAGCTTCTGGAAAGCTTTCTCCCAGTCACCAAGAACTCATACGCCATCCACAATCCCTTTGCATCTTTCTGCCTCAATCAACTTCGTTATCAGCGCTAGCTGACTTCCATGAGGATCAACAATGAAGAAAGCATGCCTCACTCCAGCCGAAACGCCCTCTTCGAGCTTGTCGCCCTCCGGCGGCTCCGCAACACTGATGAGAAAGCTGTCTTCTCTCTCACACGTCCACGCATCAGTGAGTATCTGGCCACCAACGCAATCCAGAACCACGTCGAACTTCCGCTCCTCTTTCCCATCAATCCATTCCTTCATTCCAATCTGGGCATAATCAACCATTGTATCAGCTCCCAACTCCTTCACAAACTCCACATTCGCCATTCCACACGTCCCCACCACCTCAGCACCCGCGGCATGTGGCACACTCGCCGCCTTCATCGCTCTCCCTTTCATCGCTCTCTCTTTCATCGCTTTTTTCTTCTTCACTGCTTTCTTCCAGGAGCCACAACTCCTCCCCGACAACTTCGTCAATTTTCCTTCCATTTCGCTCCAATGCTCGGCACCACGCTGCCCAGCATTTATAATGGTATCTAGCACCGTGTGATGGCGTTGGTCCCCATTTATCACGGTGGTGAAGGTCCACTCCCACTTCAATCAACAAGCTGAGTTTCTCTTCAAGGATTTCGGGGATTTCGTGGTAGGTCGAGAACATTGCGAGCTGTATAGCGTTGCGCCCGTAGGGATCAACCGCATGCGGGTTCGCGCCAAATTCTAGAAGTAGACGAACGGTTGCTAAGCCTTGTCCTCCATAGCTACCCAAATGATCAAGTAATGGAGTTCTGCCTCGTGTATCTTGTAACTCGAAGTCGTAGCCATTCCGTTTTTAGAAATCCCATCCACGTCTTTATCAACTGCACATGCTCATCCGGGATATTTATTGCTGAACTCCACGTGTTTCCGTGTAGCAGAGATTTACCGGTACTCAATGTGCACATTGTCGTTTTTTCATCGAAGTAGACTTCCATCTTAGGAAAAGGATCATAAGAAGTTGATTCGCTGCTCGCAGTCTAGACAGCATGCCAAAATCCGCTTAGAGCGTCTAGTTCGCCACTAGCGTCTGTTAGCCTATATTCGACGTATCCTGGTGTTTGAGATTACTTACTTCAAGGCCGACTGCCCCCCTCCTTAGCTGTCAAGGTATTGCAATACCTCTAGGCAAACATATCGGGCTGCAAGCTGTAGAGATTTAGGTGTATTAGAATCAAATTACTTATAAATATATTAATAATAAGAAAGAACTCACCCAAGGACACATAATGCTTCCTATGCAGTCTTTATCGTATGGAGTTATGACTCCACTTCGAAAAGCGGCATCAATTTCTTCAACGTTGCCATTGTAAAAGAGGTCTGCATGCAGGTCGTATCCTTTGACAAGGCGGAAAGCGTTTAGCTGTGTGTATAGTCTAGGTTGGAGACTAGAATTTATGGATTTGACGAAACGAGCACTAATTGAGTTGGAACAGATCCCCATAGATGGAATGAACGAAAGGCGTGCCTCGTCGATATAACGAACAAAGTTTGCAACATCGGAAGTACGAGGAACCATCAAATGCAGTTGCCCAGCCGGGACCTGGACGAGAAGACCTCATAATCTGAACGGAAGCCTCTTTGATGAACCGTTTCATATGGTCTTGCTGCTGTTCTTGCCCTATCATCACCCTCGCAAATATCTCTGCCAATGGGAGCGCCTAGGGGAACAGCTGTGTCAGAAAGAGTGTTTGCTCTCGTAGAATAGGTCCATTGATCAAATGATGTGGCTGTAGAACCTTGGCAGAAGGCGGCAGCTTCTTGAGTCGCCGACAATACAAGCTGGTCAAATTCCGACTGAAGCCAGTATAAATGTTGCGGTGAGACTCGCTCGAATGATGAGAGAGAACATGAAGAACAGCCCGTCGAACATGATCTTTCATGAGGACGAGTGGAGTCAAGATTGATTCCCCATGTCCACCAATGAATCATATCTCTCTGTCGCTCTTTGTTGCTACGATAGACTCTTTGGGAATAGAAGCACGTAGGTCGTCAAGCTTGGAGGAAACCGTATTGATCAATTTTTGGTTGCCATCTGCTATCGTTCCTCGGGTCTTGGCGTGCTCTAGTTGATTTGTCCGAGTCGCCTTGAGCACATCTTTCTGCAGAAGAGCTGTCTTTCTGAATTGCTGTGTGGAGTGAGGTATGGCATTTTTTTGCCGACAGCACTTTTTCTTGAGTCACTTTTACTATTGACAGCTCTTGCAGTTGCTTATCCATTGTGGAATTGATTTGAGAGTTTTGCTGTACCACAGCATCTGACCTCATCTGACCTCTTCTGACTAAAGGCAGATCGTCTCCTTCGTATAAACTCAATGTCAGCACGGATAGGGCGAATGAATAGGTCGTGGGTAGATTAACGAACCCTTCAACAAGCGACAAGGCTACGCCCAGCGTAGACTTCGACCTTTCCAGGTTCTCCAGAGATTTGCTTTTCCGTTCATCAAGTACGCACTTGACCCTTGCCCAAGTTTTATCGACCCCACTGTGTCTTTTGACCAAAGCCCGCAGAGCGTTTAGCTCGCGGTGCAAAGCTCTGATGGACGAGTTAAACCCGTCGAGCGCTGAGCTCGAATCATTCGCGGACAAGAGCATTGATGACGCGGGGTCTCGCAGATCGTCTAAGTGCTTCTTCAGGGCATCAGCGAGCTGTATGTTCTCTTTGATACAGGCTCGTAGTCTGTCGATTTGTGCTGGCGCATCTTTGATCTCGAAAAGGAACCGACAGCATTCGACACTTGCTCGTAACATAACGCTTGCAACGCCGACAACGGCGAAAGAGCTCGCAGCTATTGAGAAGGGGTCTGCCATGGTAAAGAACAAGGTAATAGGAATATTGCACTGGCAAAATCTTGAATGAAAGCGTATCGTTGGAGAGAATGCGTGTCCATTATCTGAATCACAGCCTCATTCCCTTGGCATAGGACAGGGTTATCTCAGGACCTCAGCCGTTTAAGAGGATTGTGGTGGCGGTTGTATACCTAACTCAGCAACGACCAAACAGGTCCGCCATTAGGAGAATCTTCAGGCCTGAACGTGACCTATCTGAAGGTTGGAGTTTGGAGTTGAGGACTAGAAAGTGTGCGTAGGGGGCCGAAGGGCTGCAGAAGGCGATATTTAGACATTGTCACAAGAAAAAGTAACGGGGGTGCGGTTTGCGTCCATTGGCTGACATGAGGGGCGTTGGGCGTATTCATGCATCCCTTGGAAAGGCTGAAGGAAAGCTGATTTCTAGGTAGACTCATGAGGCAGCATCGCTATCAGAAATGAATCTTGTTATCAGAGGGATTCTCGGAGGCTGCAACCCCCAAAATTATTATTTCAGGAACATCCGACCCTCTACATGAGGACTAGCAAACCGAGTTTAGACACAAAGGTGAGTTGCTTACGAAGAGGAGCTACGACACTCAGCAGACGGAGAAGTTATGTGAGGTCAGTTTTGGAGATGGAATAGCGCGAGAACGTGACCCCGCGTACATACAGGGGTACTCTTCGTATCCGAAACGGTCTCAACTTCTATATCTACTCCGCAATTGTATGTTCTTTGTTCTGGTGTTTGTGCACCGCAAGGCAACGGCTGTCCACCTCTCGCAAGCTAAAGTAGGACGGAGCGCTTCGGCCTCTTTAAGTAGGAGCATTCACTCACGCGACCCCTGAACTCCTTGTCAACACTTCCTCCTACTCAGCCATACAACCTCAATATCCAGAGCAACTAAGATGCCCCAAATCTCCTCGTCCGAGCCACTATGCCCGGACTGGGTGTTCTCCAATAACTCCAACGTTCAGTAGGTCTATCACTATCTCTCGAATTTAAGAAACCCCACTAACCTCTGTTATCCAGTGCCTGCAAGAACCGCGGCTGGTTCACAGACTACACGCCCTTCGAATCATTCGCTGGCTCCCTCCTTCCCCAGAGTCGGATGCCGGTCCTCGGCGTTGGCACCGTATACCTCCCCACAAAGAAAGCCCCAGGTCGTAAAGGCCGTGATGCCCATGGACAGCTCATTCTCCACGACGTGCTCCACATCCCGTCCCTCCTATGCAACATCATCGGCATAACTGAAGAAGATAGCAACAATCTCAGCATCAGTTTTGGCGGAAACTCAAGATCACGCGGCACTATCAAGAACCTTCAGGGGCACTCCCTAGCCTACTTCGACCCCGACCCCAGCAAACCACTCTTCCAAGTCAAGCTGAGTGGGCCGCCAGTTGGTCCCGTTGTCGGACCGAGTGTCTTCAGCGATCCAGACGCCGTTTACTACTTGAATGTTCGTTGGGCACAGGAGGAAGTCGCACGTTGGGAGGCCTTCAAGCAGGGCAGTCAAGATCGACCTGTCTATACGACTGGCCTTGTTGTAGCACCGCCAACGAACAACGCCACCCGCACTCCCCAACCGAGTGCCGGATACACCGACGACGAGAAGGCCTGGCTCAAGGCTCACTACGGAAACGAATTCAGATTCCTCCAGACGCACGGGCTAAGCATCTACAAAGACGAAGATCGAGAAGAAGGGAGGGAGATAGTCCGCGCTTTCATGGCGGACGAGTCCGAAAATGATGAAGCTGAAAAATCCGACGAGGATATGGAGGGACATGTGGTCGATTACCTGTTCGACGAACGATCCCTGGATTGGATCGAGAAGCACTACGGCACGTCGATGAATTTCATGTACACGAACGGACTGAAATTCTATGATCAAGATGACTGCCAGGTCGCACAGGGACTCGTTGAGGATTTCATGCAGGGACGTTGACAAGGCTTCGTAGTGATGGCGGAATGTATAAGGAGCGGCTCAACGGGCCCCTACTACGCTCTTTTGGCATCGTATTAGGCCCGCTGGCACAATCAGGAGTTATTGAATAAGATGCAATGTTCCTAGGACTAGAAACTAGACTAGGTCTGATCTCATGCTGTGGACACCTTTTAACTCCGTATGAGGGTTCAATACAACCCATGTAAACTAGATTCATCATGTTCAATGTAGACAAAACACTCAACACCCATAGCTCTGATTGTGAACTTGAATATTTATTTTTGGCATCATCATCCCTATGACTCTTCCCTTATCACAACACAAGCAGACGATTCATCTCATGCATCGTCCACCTAATTAGAAGAAAGACAGATGCTGAACTCCGAAAACCCCAAGAAACCGCCTCCCTTTATGCCTGGATAGCCCTGCCCAACGCACCGCCCGTGAACTGCTGATTCCTGTTCCCTCCACCGCGTCCACCTCCGCCTCCTCGCTGTCCACCGCCACGTCCTCCACCGCGTCCGCCACGTCCACGCCCGCCTTGGCGCTCAAACGCGTTCGCTGTGCCCTGTGTCCGCTGCTCGAGTGTCTTCTCGTTTGCCTCAATGAGGCCGCTGGCTTTGTCGCTCAAGCTTAGAGCAAGACTCTGTAGCCTGGATAGCTCAACGCCCTTGCGGAAAATGATGGCGCTGTTGACCTGGTCAAGAGCGGCACCAAGTTCCTCGTGAGAGATCATCTTGCTGACCACGGCCGAGACTTTGCGCTCCTCAAGCTCGAACATGGCTGCTAGTGAGGAGATGGAGAGGGTGTCGTAGTAAGGAGCGTAGGTGAAGAGATAGGTTCGTAGACCTTCTTCCTGAATCTGGGCGGACAGCATGTCCTTGATCTTCTCCGAGTTGGCCATCAGCTCCCAGATTTTGATTGAATTAATGAACTCGGCCGATTTCTTCCACTCGCCAGCAGCTAAAGCCTTGGATGCCTGCATGACGTGGTCGCGAGTGTTTTCTGGCGGGCCGGTGAAGATCTGGCGCTCATGGTACTCTAAAAGTCGGCGGTAGGTCTTGCTGATGACTCGCTTTTTGATGTCAGGCGACGAGCCGATCTGTGCGAGGAGAGGGATCTCAAGAAGCATGGAGCACGTCAGGTAAACGCATTCCAGCAGCTCCAGGTTGATGTGCATGTGGAAGGGAAGTTGTCGTTGCCTCTCCAGCCGTTCCTGTTCTGGAGATATCTGAGAGTACCGTTGCATTTGAAGACCCTGAGCAAGAAGCTCTTTTTGCCTGTTGCTGCCGCAAATCTCCTGGAGAGAGTTCTGTGCTTCATAAACCAGACCAGCCCTGAAGGCGCAAAGACCGACTTGGACTAATGCGCGATTGAAGAGAATCTGGGTATTGACGTCAAAGTTGCTGATAGTCTCCTGAAGATGGGACATCAACATCATGTCACGCGCCTTGTAGTACTGGTCATGCAGAGCAAGGAAGTACACTTGGCACAGCATTGCACGAGCTCGGATGATGCCCTCGCTGTTTTGGAACAGGTAGGTGCACAGAGTTTGGACGAGGGAGGCGGTGTCGTTGGAGATAGCGCGAGGGGTCACGGATGAATCCAGCTCGGCCGGAATAGCTTTCCAAGTGTTGGACTCGAGAATTGTGACGACCTGGGAAGGCTACAAAAATCCGTTAGAGAGGGAGGGTGTTTGTCAGGGGGCTTCTCCGTACCTTGAAATAAACGTGTTCCAAGCGGCGTGATACAACACGGTTTAAGCTTTCTTGGTTCTGGTCGAGTTTGGGGTTCTTCTTCAGCGTCTCAACGTAAACCAGCGCACGGACGATGCTTGTATAAAGGGCAGCCTCATCCGTGAGTCGCTCTACGTATTCAGCAGTGTGAGGATCGATGTGTTGCAATGACCGGGTGAGCTCATCGTCGAGTCTCTCCACGAAAGAGACGACGCTGCCGGGAATGCGGAAAATCTCTCCTTCGGTGATAGGAGGTAATTTCTCATCATCCTCCCATTCCTCGGCGTTCTCGATCACAACGATCTCTTCGGTGGACTCTAGAATCTCCAGAAGCTGGGAAAACTCATTCTGGGCGCTATGAAGAAGTTAGTGATGGCCATGGACATGTGCAATTGAAGACGCTTACAGCTTCCATTGCTCTTGGGACATCTGATTTCCAGTTCCAGAAGTAAGGTCGAACCGGGTAGGAATCAGGGTTAGTAACACTCGAATCTTCTGGTAGTCGTTGACGGCCACTTCACGGAGCTTCTCCATAGTCCGGATTTGGTCCAGCCTATCGGTGTTCTTCCTGCCTCGGGCTTCGACAATCGTCCGTAGGTGCTTGAGAATGCTTTCGGGGGTGTATTGCATGGCCCTTCCACCAGCACCGACCATGGTGAAACCCTCGTCATCGTCACCGGTAGGGACCTCGCCTGCCTCCCGGATGGTGCTCCTTGACCTGGTAGGGACTCTAACCTCGACGACCTCCTCGCGCATGAACTCCTCTTTGTTCTCGCGATATGAATCAATATCCTTGGCGTAGTCTTTATTGTTCTTGCGAATACGCTGTCGGACAGCATTCAAGCCTCGGGTATTGATTGCGTTCATTTTCTTGGGTGAGACTTTCTGTTTCTCGATAGTCTCCAGCATAACGGTTTCGAGGTCGGCAATCGCCTTGATGTAAAGCTTTGGGGGCTTGCCATCATTCTGCTTGATGAGGGCGGGGACTTGGCGATTCAGCTTTTCAAACTCTATCCAGATCAGTTAGCCAAAGCCAAAGAGTTGTATGTCGTGGTGTGACTTGCGTTCAGAGATAACAGCCCAATCGTTGATCTTTTCCGCGTTCTCAATCAACCGTATTGTGCCCTCCAACTCCTCGAACCGCTTGTCCTTCGCACTCTTAACTATCTTGACCCGCTCTTCGTCAGAACTGTCCTCTTCTTCAGACGCCTCGCGCAAGAACTTGTTGGCGCCAGTCTTCCCTCCATCGTCACTACTCGACGAGTCATCGCTGTCCTCGTCGCTGTCCTCGGAGGAGGACTCTTCTTCGGACTCGGCTGCTTCCTGGTCGCTATAGAGTTCCTCTTCGGAGGAGCTCTCGCTGGAGCTGTCGCTGGCAGTGAAAAACCGAGACATGGCGAGTGGGTTGTTGGTGGGTGGTGCCTGCGGGCGGCTTTGATAGATATTTATCGGCTCCCGGTCAGTGGGCAGTTGCGATCGTGTGTGGCGGGAATTTGGGTCTAACCGTAAGCGGAGCTCAAGTCACGTTACCAGAACATAAATTTCTCCACGGGCAAACATCTTCGAGAGCTTTAACAAAATGTAGGTGAATTATCTTGAACAACCTGGGAACTCGCCAAGCTACCTCACACATCCCACCACGGTGCCCACTACTATTGAGGAGGGATACTAGCATACTTGCTTCGACTATCTAATAGCGCATCGGACTAACCCTTTCTACAGACGTATTGACAGATGAGTGCACTTAGACTTTTATCAAAGTACGATTAGCAAATGCTATCGCCTGGATTCACTATGGCTCTCACTTGAGTGAATACACACTCTTCAACCTATCCAAGTCAAGAGTCACGGCGCACACAACACTTTCCAAGGCAAATGCACCGCCTGGGTAGGCATACTTTGGGGCCTCGGGGTTCAGGTGGGTCTCGAGTGGCTCAGTTCCAGTAGTGAATAAATGATAATAATGCAAGCTACAATACAAGCTAGTCATGCTCTCCAGTGTGTCGTCCTCCAGGCGCCCAGTGCCTATTTCCGAAAGCCTTCGCGAAATCCTGAGGCCGTTATTGTGCTCTGAACGCAATCTGTACATACCCAAAAACCCTGACCGCAGGCGGCTGCGCTAGTCTGAAATACATCAGGGTAGGGGCGCGAAGGGCTGTCTGTTTAAAGCACCCTTTGCGGTCTAAAATATAGGATGCTGATATAAGCGAAATGCAACGGGACTGCAAACCTAAACTAGTTTGCCTAGGCTTCTAGACCTGGAGATGTATATGTCCCAAGCGGTAGTCCCGATGCCATTCGTGGACTCGACGTGATATGATCGACGGTGTGCTCTGCCTCCGTCATGCGGTCTGGGTGAGCGCGGGCCGACGCTCGGCGGAAATCCGAAAGCCTCTACGCCGTAAGAATTTTTGCGTTCCGCCCTGATGGAACGCGAGTCAGGAAACAATATTTCTAAACTTCAAAACAATCCTTATCACCAATGCGACTGATTCATAAAACCTTCCTCCAGGGTGCGGTCTTCCAGATTTCGAATGAAGTCTCGGTTGCTTCTATTCTGAGAGCCTCCAGCTCGGCTTGCGCGTCGTCTCGCACCGCCAGCGGAATCCGGGGCGCCTTCGGGCGGTGGTGGATAATAGGCTGGGCTGGGCTGCAGGCGAATAGGAGCGTTTGGATCCAGGTGGCTAATCACACGTTGCAAGGCAGGTGGGATACCGCTCTGCTGCTGGTCCATCGTAGAAGCCCGTTGTCGGCCGGCTCTGGTGGTAGCCTGAGCATACAGGTTTGGTTGCGCGTTATAGCGTTGAGCCTGTCCTTGCGGCATAACACCCATTTGCTGTCCATAGGTGGCTTGCGCAGGGTATGGCGGTGGCGCCTGTTGGTGACTCGGACTGTATATGTTGTTGTACATATTCGGAGCTTGCGCGTGAGGCGTTTGCTGTCCATACTGCTGGTTGATCTGCATGTTGGCATACGCTTGACTCTGAGCGACTGCTTGAGCTTGGGCTTGAGCCGCTGCTTGGGCTCTCTGTTTGCTTAAAGCTTCCGCACGCTGTTGTTCTTGAACGCCTGGCGCAGGCGACCTACTAGAGCCTGTTCGTAGCGTCATAGGCGGTACGAAAGGACCGGTGAACTTGGCTTGAGTGATGAACGGATGCAGTTTGGCCTGGTTAGGAGTCCATCGTTCCAGTGGGTTGAGGTTGAGCAGTCCTTGCGCGAAGTCGATGAAAGATGTCCGGTTTGCCATTTCTGCAGAGCGTTAGCCTCTAGGATGTAGTAAGAATAAAGTTACTAACCTCTTTCGATCTCGTTCGGCTTCATGTTCTTCCTGGGCATAGGATAGTTTTTGATGATGTCTGGCAGCGTCGTAGCCGAGAAGTACTTCTTGCTCGGTTGTTCCTTGGAACCGTGCTCTCGCGAATACTGCTCCATCGTCTTCAGCCGGTATGTTCGTCTTCCGAAATCGTCATGCGCCTTTTCGAAGAACTCGCCCGACTGCTTGCCCATTTCCAACATCCAGGTTGGCGGGTGTCCAAGCATCTCTGTAATTCTGGAAACTTGGTTGTACTCTGAGGAACCAGGGAATAAAGGTAGACCAAGGAACAATTCGACAACGATGCAGCCCAACGACCACATATCTATGGCAGCAGAATATCTACAGGCTGTTAGCAGTGGCCCTCTAGAAAGCTGGGTATTACGTACGGCAGACCAAGCAAAACCTCCGGTGATCGGTAGAACCTCGATTGGATGTACGTATAGACAGTTTGCCTCTCGTCGCACGCGGAGCCAAAATCGATGATCTTTATTATCGGGGACTCAAGACTATTTTTGTAATTAGTAATGAGTATCTAACGGGGTAAGATGTTCGTACTTCTTCAGCAATATGTTCTCGGGTTTGAGATCGCAGTGTATTAGTTTCGCCTTGCCTAGCAAAGCCAAACCGTTAATCAGTTGCTGGGCGAATACGCGAACTAACGTGGTGCTCAGTCCTCGGAACTGGTTCTGCTTGATTAGCTCGTAAAGATTGACGCTGAGTAGTTCAAACACTAGACAAAGATGCTGTCTGTGAATAAATGTGTCCTTCAGACGCAACAGGTGGTGGTCGTCGTTCTTGTCCATTTGCTTGTTCAACTGCAACTGGTCAGTTTTTTCTTCCATATGGATTGTGGAGCTTCATACCAAATCGAGAACTGAGACCTCCATCATGCTCTGATTGAAGTATGCTGTCCTATTTTTGACAACCTTGACAGCCACCACCTCTTGAGTCTTGAGGTTCTGACACTTGACAACCTGGCCGAAGGTACCTTGACCGAGAACGTCCAAGATCAGGTAACGATTCCTGCAGACAGGATTAGCATTCATACCGATTCATAAACCTCGTGTATACGCACTTGTGTCCGGATTCTTCTGAGCCAAGAATATCGTTGACGTAGAGAATGTAATCACTATCTTCGTTGTCATATCCATCATTCTTGACGCCTTTGCTAGGCTTCGTAAGGACTCGCCGAGGATTTCGTGACGACTCGTACTTGAAGCCGGGGTTACATATCCGGTAAGTCGAGGGTAGATGAGTGGTCAGAGCTTGCAGAGGCTGTAACAAATGTTAGCAGGTACGCTTGACCATGGAATCGCTCATCACTAACACTTATAAACCCGCCCTCGGGATTTGCTCTCCGGAAAGGAGGCTGGGTATTGACTTTGGGATCCAGCTCGGCAAGACTGCTGCATTTGGAAAACTTGGGCACAGCTCCCCGACTAATGGGAGGTAATTGTGGAGGGTTTGGGTTTGCAGACCGCGGCGACCTAGCGTCCCTGTTATACACTGCGTTCAGTTGCGCGGTTGCGGATTGCGATTGAGGATAGTAGCTTTCAGGGCTCATGTTGGACATGTTGGACTGTATGGGAGGAAGCTGGGGGGCGTGAGGGCGAGAAGCTGCCACATGTTAGCGTGTGAAATTGCCGAATCTTCGGTGTTCCGTACCTGGAGGGGAGTAGTAGCTTTGCGGCGGAGACATATAGGGGTTCGACCGAGTTGGCGATTGGCGATTGCCTTGCGCAGCTTGCGGAGTAAAGCTAGTGTAGCCGCTTTGCGGCTGCTGGGGCGTCGAGCCGTATGGGGAGGTCGGGGAAAGGTTCATAGGTGAATAGCGGAGCGCGGCAGCAGATTTCTCCTGCTCGATGAAGTGCTGAGAGTTCCTCTGCTGGTGGTTTGCCCGTTGGGCGTATTTGGGCTTGTAGGGGTCGGCGTCCTCCATGGGCACGTCACCGTCTCCGTCGCCGTTGTATTCGCGTCCCTGGGCAGCTCCGGGAGACGCGAGCGACATTGTTGCTGAGCGCGACGGGGCCGGGGGCGAGACATAGGCCTCTTGTTTGATCGAGGGAGCGCTTGGGTCTCGCGGAGACGCCAAGGTCTGAGGAGCATACCGCGCCTGGCGGTTCGATGCCGGATTGTCGACGTAGGGGGACCACTGCTGGTCCATAGCGATGGCGGGCGAGGCGTGCGAGACGTAGAGAGGCCGTGCAAGTTGCTCGGGAGGTACGCAGCCGGTTCAGCTAGTTACGCCGACGAATTCGAGATGCGCATGCCGGATCGCGCCAAGGTCGTATGGGGGCAGGATGCGGAGCAAACGGCCAGGATCGAGCTTCACCTGAGGCCGGCGGGCGTGACGGCGCCTGGGAGACACGTGTAGGGCGCCGAGTTGTCGGTGCTTCGAGCCTCGCGCACGTCGGGCACGATCACTGGGCGGAGGAGAGTCTGGCGGGCGGTGCTGCGGAGGGGTGAGCCTGCGACGACGGCAGGCGGGCGACGATGCTGGAGACCGGGGCGGCGAGCGGCGGGCACAGGCCTGGGCGGCCGAGGACAGCAGGGCGCTGGATGCAGTGGTGGGCGAGCAAAAAAATGCAGCAGCTGAGGGTGAGTTGCAGGAGAAGGACTGGAGAGGTGATGCGTTGGAGGAGGGTCTCAGTGCCCTAGCGAGCTCGACAAAGCCGTGTGGGAGAGCTACCATGGCTACCCACCGTCAGGCACACCAATTCCTGCCCAGCCGCCAGAGACATAATGCGCCCACCGCCGGCGACAGCACTGTGCCGCCTGCGATGTGCTCGGCGGGACGACGCAGTGTCTGCGGCCGTGATGGCGCCCTCTGAGCCCGACGTGTGCCAATGCGTGGCGCCAGCAGCAAACACCAGCCATCCGTCAACAACCTCCCTTCACGTCTTGCACCTGGCCGCCCCATTGCGGACGCAGAAGCATCTGCTGGCACTAGTCCGTGAGTTCTGTCCGAGCATTGGTCCTGTCCACGGGCTCGATTGCATATGTGTTCTTGCTTAAGCTCTGGGGGCTTTAGTATCACTGCACCTTCACCGGCCGACGCTGAAGGTAACAGCATCCACGAACAGGCCCCCCGAGGGCCCCAGCCCAGGAGCCTGAAACAAGAGCCAAGTTGGCCTAGCAGCGCGGGCCAGTGGGTCAGATGTTTTGTTGCTGGAATCCCTCACGTTCATCAATCCCGTCGATCCTACCACTACCTAGGAGGTCATTACCACCGCAGTGTAGTCATAAAACGCAATTGCATCTTTTAATGTCTACTCCAAAGACCACATGAGGCCCAGAGCCAGTAACCAGGCATCTGGCATCTAGCATCTAGCATCTGGCATAATGCATCTCTCTCTGCTGTGATATCAATGTAAAGGCGAGGTAAATATACTGGAATACTAGCCTTCGCATTGTTTCCTGACTTAGTAATGTGCATCTTGACACCATTTCAGCAATCGCAATAAACTGTAAGATCAGCATATTCGACAGTGTCTGAACCCACTGAGCCTCCAGAGACAAACATCATGCTTCTGCATGAGTGGAATCGCTTCTGTCTTCTCATTATCCACGCCAATCGCCAACGACCTCCATCCTCCATTCGATTAGTCGACTGAATCCTGCACAAGATTGTCAACAGCCTCAACCATTCGTCTGTCTTCTTCCTCCTCCTCCTCGTCGCCGTCGTTGTCGCCGTCGTTGTCGTTGTCGTCGTCGTCGTCGTCCGAGGAGACTGTGACTACCTCACGGCGAGGACTCCCGCCCCGAAGGCCATCACTTCCCGCCTCCCCATCCACATATTGAAACAGCTCTTCTTCGATCCTTCCAATATCACTCTTCATGTTCTCCAATCTCTCATGCTCCGCTTTCAACTCCGTCGCCACCACCTCCAACTCAGACATCTCATCGTCCTCGACAAACACGTCGATTTCCCTCAAATCCCTCATCATCTTGCCAAAGGACCCCAGTTTTTCCCTCTCCGCTACAATGATGGTGCCGCCAACCTCCTGCTCACGCAAGTACTGTTCAAGTAGCTCCGCATTCCTCGCCGACAACTGATTCGCAATCTCCCCCTGCAACTTCTTGAACTTCTTAAACTTCTCTTCGAGTCGCCGCTCCTTCTCCCTCCATCGCTCGCAAAACGTCGCCAGTTTCTGGATCTCGGCCGCAAACTCTACACAGAATTCGCGTGCGGCGGCATCCGAGAGCGCTCTCTGCGCCCCCCACTGCACCGCCCGGGGGAGAAACCGCCCGCCAAGTCGTGTGCGCGCGAGCACACGTTCGCAGAGATAGGGTGCGGTGCCACTGAGTGTCAAAGTTAAGTAGGTTGGATTTTGTTCTTGCCGGCGCTGGGCGCGCGCTCGTCCGAGGCGGTCGTTTCTCGTGGGCACCCGGGTAACCCAATGTCCTCCGGTTATGCGGCGGGAGGGTAGGCTGTTCATATAACGGGCGGTGTCGAGAAGTTGTATGCTGTGCGGAAGATCAGGGGGTGGGGGGAAGGCTGGTCTAGTATCTGGTTCGGACTGTCCACCTCGCAGTTGCGCATGTCTTCGCCGTGGTGGGGGGAAGTCACTGAAGCCGGTGGAGGGCCCGCCAACAGCAATGATGGTACCGCGGAAATGAGACATCAGGGCGACTGTTTGTAAAGCTAGATTGGGGTGGTGAGTTTAGAAGCTATGTTGCAGAGGTGTCTGCCTGGACTCAAACTTCGCAAAGGAATGTGAGGGTAAGCAAATAATAGCGGTGGGTTTGTATGTAGTAGAAGGTTGTTGGTGACGAAAAGGTGGTACCTAGGTAGTTGCATTGATGACCTGTGTTTAGAGGTCCAGCGACGCAGGAAAGCTCAATGCGTTTGCCAACAACCCACCACAGGCGCAACCCACGCAACTAGCATTGACTCTCGTAAGTTTGTATGCATCTGTCTGCCACTTTCAAAGGCAGTTTAGCATACTTTCACCTACTTGAATCAGACTGGAAGTCACGGCCAGACAACCTGTCAACTTACTCAGTCACTGCTCGCAGTAGCAGAACAGTCAATATAGACATGTATTGAGGCCTTGCAAGAGGAAAAATAGCGGATAGCAGCTACACAGACATCCAAAAGCCAAACGCTCGGCAATGCGATTAGATAGCACAGCGCTTGCGAGAGCATCAGTAGAACATACCCCGAGATGTCAAATGAGTACTTTTGATATCGAGTAAAAAATTGAAGCATTCAACCCTATTCCACATCGCCTGATCCCGAAGGCCGCTCGTGCCCCCCGAAGGCCTGAAAATCGTATCCGTCTCCAACTTGCCCGATCCCCGGCATACTCATGAAGTCATGATCCATTCCGGCAGCGCTGCTCTCGCCGTACACCGCACTGATATCGTTTAACTGGGCTGCATTCGCAAACCACAGATGATCTGGGATGAAGTCTTCATTTGTAGCAGAATGCTCTGGCGTTTCACCTATGTCAGGAGTGTGCTCTGTTGTCTGCCCTTCATATGACTCGGACTCAGAGTACTCATTAGTAGGTGCCGACTGGGTATGTGACCTGGAATCAGGAAAAGCGTGTGCTCTCGTTGACATGGCTTGAGGTTTAGTAGGATTCCTCATCCTCGCGGCGGCAAACTCTGCGTTTGATTTGTCCGGAATTGCTTTGACGAGGACGCCGGTCGATATTGCTAGCATGCTGATGGCTCTCTCCAGGAAATCCGCGCTCTTCGACGAGAGCCGCAACGTCCATCTATACTCCTCCAGCTTGGCTTTGTAGAACTCTGCTTCTTCCTTCTCTTGCGCTGTGACCCATAGCAGAGATACGAATGAGCCGATTAGGGCAAAGCAGTACTTTGATGCAGAGTACCAGAATGACTGCAGATGTTCGGGTCGAAGTCCTTGTACAAAATCCATTGCAGACACAAGCCGTGCACGAGCTGCATTTCGACAAATGGAGATCAGCGATGGATCATCTAATAACGATAGAGATCGAATAATTCGTCTGTGAAGGGTGATCTCTACGGCGTAGTAACCTAAATGGAGGTAACCTACGTTTCGAGTGAGCGACCAAACTCAGAACTTGGTAAAGAAGCATGTTGCAGAGTACTTGACTTACCTGTGGAAGACAATTTCCTCATAGCGACGTTCTCCATCTTCAGTATAGCAGGCATCTGTGCAAACCAAGTTTTGAGCGCTAGTTGACTCGGCTTTGCTTTCTCCAGTATCCAGCGGACGCCGTCCTGGGCATGCATTCGTATATCTTGCTCTGCTTTCAACGTATAGAAGTTAGAGAGTATAACTGCAAGAATCTCTGTCAGGGTGATCATCTCGCAAAATAGCGTTCGGCCCTTCTCGACTTCTGTACTGCCGTCCTCGTCATCCTCATCGGCAGCGCTTTCGGGGAAATCGCTCTCTGACAACGGCTGTACTTCCCAGTCTGTCGTGGCTATATGAGAGGGCCTTCCATGGACTAGAGAGCCCCATTTGTCTTGCATGAATAGAGCCCACGCTAGCCTCTTTCGCAATCCTCGCTCCCAAGCCGGTACCCTCCAGTTAGAGCAATCGAGATGGAGACCGAGATCTTGTCCGAGACCAACAAGTTGACTAGTGAGCGCCCAGGAGTCGCCTTCAGGCCTCTGAAGCAAAAGTAGGCCGGCTTGAATGGTGGATAGTTTTGGACGATGAATGATGTCGTTCACAGTCTTGAAAGCTAGCTTTTCAAGCTTCGGCACGTCAGGCTTTGGCAGAAGTGCCAAGTCACTGCTATAAGACCACCAGTTCAGAGCCAAGATGTACACAGCTGCTAAAAGCGGCGGCGAGAACTCGCGGTGTGTTCGTTGGTACTTTTCGAGGAAGACCTTTTTGTGTAAGATGGGAAAGCTGGGATGAACAATCCGAAAATAAAGATGGATCAAAGCCTGGCCATGCGGTGCAACTATCATCTCGATAGCATCCAGGTCGACGATTTCGTCTTCGTGGTTCCTCGTGCCTTCATCAGGGGTCAAGATGAAGGCATCTGTGGCATTGACCTTTCGGAGAGCAGACACGCCTATTGGGACCTCGTCCTTGTCGTTGTACGCGTCGAGTTCAAGAAGGGTCTGTTCGTACTCGGAAGTAGACCCAATGAACCTGCTATGCCGGTGGTTTTGCAAGCCCAAGGTCTTTTTGAGCAATGAAGGTCCTTTTAAGTTGGCGTAGTCGTCAATGGGTGGATCTTGCCGGATTTGATGCGAAGGCCTGTGGGCTACATCAAGAAAAGAATGCCTTGGAATCCAGCCTTTGTCGGAAGACACCTGTGGCGGTCGGCGAAGAGAGTCTCGCGAAGAGTTTGTATTGTTGGTCTCCTCCTCGCTCAAGGAAGCAGCTTTTCTTTTTCTAGGCTGGGGATCCTCCTTGAAGGTGCACTCCTGGCGGTGAAATCGGCACAAAACGCAAGGCGTTGCGCCATCAACCAGCTCACATCTTGACTTGCGGCGCCGACAGGAATCGCAAGGACGGCGAGATCGGTTCTTAAAAGATGCTGCGTCGCCTTGGCCAGAATACGACTCGGTGGGGGAGATTCCTTGGTCCAACCGGTAACTCATTGCACGATGTCTAACGCGGAGGGCCTACGAGCATCATCAGCGATGTCCATCACTTCCTCGAGAAGCTCGAATTTGGCCTATGAATAAGACGACGGGCGAAGAAGACGGTGAAACGAAGAGAGCAAGTGCCGGCTGAGAGGCAGGACGGACACCGGTTAGGCTAGAACTAATCCCAATCGAGGACAGCATATGAACAGTCCTCTGTACAATGTCTTGCAACTGTCGCGAGTGCTTCAACACATTTTCAACAACATCAACGAAACGGAAGTTCGAGACTTCGAACTGCCAATAAGTTCCATATACCGCTTCCGACGATAGCAGACGGGTGCAAATAGTGTCTTGATGAAGCAGCAAAACGACATGACAGGGTCGGCGGGATGAAAATAAGTGTGCTCAGTGCTGCAGCGCCCCCGGAGTACTCACCAATGACAGAAGATTCCGGGGGCCTTCAAACTTGGATAGGACAAGCTTCTGCTGGAATCGTCGGCAGCAGGGGAGTTAGATTGGTAATGATATGATAAATGAGGCCGCTCAGTAGATCTTGTGTTACTTCCCAGGTGAACCCCGGATGAGATTTTAAGATGCAGCTATATACAGGGCTGGGTGTGTCGTGTGCTCTTAACGAGCTACCCAGGTCCCTAGTTTTGGGCCAGTATAGGGCTATGATGATGGTTGAGGACGATAACGTGGGCTCGTCTGAACAGCTTCAAATTCAGCACACCTCCGGGCCTCTGGCCCGGCAGAGAGGCCGTCAATACCCTCGAGATAAGATGCAGGTTGTCACCAATCACAACATCATGCTAGCGAACCCCCAAAAGCCACACCCGCATCCAGACGCCAGCCGCCAGCCGCTAAGGCTCTTGACCTTTCTCAGCAGACACCATGCAGCCGGTCGCCGAGCTGGCGTGGCTACAAGCCTAGGATATGCACCAGAGTTGAAAAGTTTACTGCATTGAGCCCTATCGGTTCGATCCATGTTACTAGACACTGAAACAGAACTCCATTCTCGAGCATCATTACAACTTGAGTTCGTGACCGTCAAAACGATTGTTTGCGCCTCCAGGCTAGACGGGGCTGATTTCTTTCTCCTTCGTGACATAGTCATCCTTACCAGAGTCCACGGACTCGGACGGCGGAGAGACATCGCCAAGCTGTGGCGGGTAGACCGCCTCTTCGATGATAGACTCTTTGGGCACCGAGATATATGTGCAAATGACATAGTGCACCAGCATGGAAATGAAGAATCCAAAGATCCAAGCAAACGTGTAGATCTTCCATGCTCCTCCCACGTTGAGGGTTGGCTTAATGCTCTTGGCAAATCCAGGAAGTAGAGGCGCAAAGCCGGTGACAAAAGCGACAAACGCGCGCCAATTAACTCCGTGCGAATACCAGTAAATTCCGCGATCTATCATAAGTTAGCTCCACTCATTTCAACACCAAAATGACTAGACTCACTAGTGTATAGCTGGTCGATGTCGAGCTTGCGCTTCTTGATGATGTAGTAGTCGCAGACCATAGTGCCAGCAACTAGAATTCCAGGTTAGCATTGAAAGAGAAAATTAGTTAAATGATACGTACGAGGTCCCATCAAGCATGAGTATCCAGAGAGGAAGGCTAGCAGGCCTGCGGCATTCTTGACAATGTTCCATGGGGTCGAGACGATACAGAAGATGGAGATGAACATGGTCGCACGGAAGATGTTGATGTATTTCGGCGCGATACCAGTGATATCATTAGAGAAAGGATAAGTGCCTGTCATTGTCAGTCGATAATCCCGGATAAGATCGCGTCTTTGCTTACCTGCAGCAACTTGATTGCCGATTGTGGCAAGCATGAAGCTGAAGGACACGAAGAACTTCGCGGCACGAGAGTCGAAGTTTGCAATGATAGCAGGCATGTACCACTCGAAGCTTCCCCAGAGGTACGAGTTCGCGGAGGTGACAAAAATAGGAGTGAGAGCACCAAGAGTTCCTAAACATATTTAGTTATGTACAGCGAATCTCTCCGAGCAGCAAACATACCGATAATAGGAAGAGCAAAGTATTGGTTATATCCGGACAGTCTGTCCTTAGAAAATCTGCCGAAATCGGGCATATTCACAGCCATGGAGCTGAAGAGGCCGATAATGGCATTCAGGCCGGTGAGAGCGGAGTAGGCTGTGTTCATGTATGTCGATTCAATATGCATCTTCCCGGTGACCAACTCCCCTCCACCTTTTGTCACGATCACAGCCCAAAGGAAGAGAGCGAGGAAAGTCGGAGGGACCTTCAATATGTCAGCGGACGTGGAATAACCTTTTTGCTCTAAGAACTTACGATAACACCCTTGACCCAGAACAAGATCCTCAACTTCTCAATAGGCATGATTGCAAGGGCGGTCTGCGCAAACCAGTACAAGAAGATGCACAGTAGTCCAGCAGCTGCATTGAGATTAACAAACAGAAATGTGGCGCCAGTATATAAGTTATGACTTACAGGTGACTCCAGCATCAGCAGCGAGGTGATTGGGGAAGTGGATGAAGCTTGGCCAGATAGCCTCCAAGCAGCGCTGCAAATAAGCACCAGCCTGTACGGTCAAAATTGCAGTCCACATCAAAGCCACAAAGGCTAGGTGTGCATTAGCAGATGCAATACGAAGTCCCGTTCGGTATCATACCTCGAATACAAATGGCTGGGAATGACCCATACATTCCGAAAATGCTTCGAACAATGACAGGGAATGGGACAGCGTAGGTGGCACCCATTTTGCCAGTGAGAGTGATGACAACGCTGCAGATCAGGAAGCCGAAGAAGACAATGGGGATCGTCTCTCGAGCAGTAAAGCCAAGCGACATGACACTGGAAACGGTGGAGGCAAGGGGCGGTGCCAGCATGTCTGAAGTCCAGTATGCCCAATAGTCGATCGCGCCCCAGGTCCGCTTCTCAGGAGGGATTGGGTCAAGGTCTAAGAAGGCCATCAGTATCTCGCTCCTTTGAAGGATGGAGCTTGTCATGCTCCCTAATCATCGAACGGTGTACACTGCAGTCACTTTTTGAGGTGGCTCGGCGAATGCCCCCATCTTTCAAAAATACCAAGTTCAGAGTTATGAAAGTGGAATAAGGCACTTCAAGCAGTGGCAGACAGGCACACACAAATCTTCGACGACGAGGCACTGTAGAGATCACTTACCCCTATTGGACCATCTGGAGGCATACTTTCCACTTTCAAAGGGCACCCTCAGGTGCAGGTGAGGGCCAAGCTTCGCCTTGAGGCGGCTAGGAGAGAGTATAGACATGACGGATGATGCTAATGAGGCTTGTGGTAATGATCCAAGAGAATTCAAAAGAGTTAGTCGGCCAGCGAATAAGAAGCCTTTGAAAAGCACCAGACTTGATTCCTTGGGAAGAACGATTGAATGGCATCACCTGGGTTCCCTGCCCATAGATATATTCACGCTCTGTAGAGGATAAGGGACCCCCATGGCGTCCTTCTGCCTACCTCAGCGGGTGGCCGTGAATCAGTATCTCGCGAAAGAGATAGGACAAGGTCGTGCCTCCGGCGAGCCACGCAGAGTCAGATATGGCAGACCGTGTAAGGCCCAATGCCATGTCAATCTGTTCCAGAATCGTGGTGGCTCCGGTTTCGCGGGGTCTAGCGTTCCAGGGCGTGGAAGGCGCAAAGCTAAAAGTATGGTGTTTGGATGTGGTGAAGCCAGCTGCTGGTGGACTGGTGGGCTCGGCTTGGGGCTTCTCGCCAACCACTGCCTGTAACCCCTTTAGCGCTAGCCACCTTGACGATAAGATCTACCAGCCTGCGTGCCGGGCGCCGAAGGTCGCCTCCGGCGCGGTAGCCCAGGCCGGCGGCCCTGAGCGTAGGGGCGTAGCGGGTGCAAGCGGGACATGCTTCTTGCAGCACTATCACTATCATAATGTCTTCTTTCGCATCAGCTGAAAACTTTTTCCTTGTGGTCTTTTTCCTGGACGCTGGCTGTTCTCTCTATCTTCGTCTTTCTACGCGGGCTCGTCATCTCTAATCCTCATCCTCCCATCATGACGTTAAAGAAAGATACTTCGACGGTGGTGTCAATCGACGCGAAGCCGTACGCGTTCTCCTTCCCGCTGAAACATACAGCTCTCCTGGTAATTGATATGCAACGGGACTTCCTCCTAGCAAAAGGCTTTGGAGAAATTCAAGGGGGGAACCTAGCAGATGTGCAGGCTTCTATTGGCCCCACGAAAAAGCTCCTCGAAGCTTCTAGGAGGGCTGGACTGACTATTGTCCATACTCGTGAAGGGCATGTCCCTGATCTATCAGATTGCCCCTCTTCTAAAGTATGTGTTCTACTGACTATTCTAAAAGATGTCTAACTGACTATATGGAAGCTTGTCAGACAAGCCGCTGCGCCCGACAACACCCAGCACAAGCTCACAATCGGCGAACGCGGCGAGCTAGGCAGACTACTCGTTCGGGGAGAGTATGGACACGACATAATCGACGAATTGAGACCCTTGCCGGGCGAGGTCGTCATCGACAAGCCTGGGAAGGGAACATTTTGGAACACTACCATCCTTCACAAGCTTAAAGCTCGAGCCATTACTCATCTGATCGTGTCTGGAGTGACCACAGAATGCTGTTTCGCTACTTCCATACGTGAGGCTAATGATCGGGGCTTTGAGTGCTGTAAGTTTTACTATCACTGAACACTTTCATTCTATGCTGACAAGATCAAGGCGGTATTGAAGAAGCAACTAGCGGCTACAATGATAACAGCTTTAAGTGTGCAACTCTTGACATGATCCACTGGTCCCAGGGCCTGTTCGGCTTCATCGCGAGCTTGCAGCCCCTATTAGACGCCCTAGAACCTCTCGGTAACGCTAGAGGCTCATCTGCGTCTACCCCTCCACAGACGCCGCCGGACTTCGACGGTGATCTTTCAATTACGGGCCTGCAGAAAGCGTATAAGAAGGGCCTATCACCAGTCACTCTGGCAGAAACGTTGTACAGCAAGATTGAAGCGTACAAGAAAGTCGATCCAGCCGTATGGATACATCTCGAGTCCAAGGAAAACGTCCTAGAGGCAGCAAAAGCTCTCGCAGCAAAGTACTCCAATCGATCAGCACTGCCTCCATTGTTCGGTGTCCCCTTTAGCGTAAAAGACAGTATCGACGTGGCAGGACTGCCAACCACCACAGCGTGTCCACCTCTGGCCCATATACCCTCTGCCTCCGCCGTCGTGTACGATAAAGTGATAGCAGAGGGTGCTCTCTTCATTGGAAAAACTAATTTGGATCAGCTGGCCACCGGCCTCACCGGCTGCCGCAGTCCCTACGGTATCACACATTCTGTATTCAACAAAGACTACATTAGTGGTGGCTCTAGTAGCGGCAATGCTGTCAGCGTAGGCGCTAATTTGGTCTCATTCTCTCTCGCAACTGACACCGCTGGATCCGGTCGCGTCCCTGCAGGTTTTAATGGCGTCGTCGGATACAAGCCAACCCGCGGACTAATATCTTTTCGCGGTGTGACACCCGCCTGTCTCTCCCTCGACTGCATAGCCATCACTGCCAAGAACGTCAGCGACGCTCGCACCGTGTGGCAACTGACTGAAGGCTACGACGAAGAAGATAGCTATGCAAAGCCCGAAATCGCCTACGAGCGACACGTCAACTCCATCGGCCCACAAGCGAGGTCGTTCAAGTTCAGCATACCGCCAGCTGAAGCTCTAGACATCTGCTCCCACGTCCACCGCCGCCTTTTCAACGAGACCGTCAAGCGGCTCCAGTCGCTCGGGGGCACCCTCACCCCTATCAACTGGACGCCCTTCCAGAAAGGTGGAGAGCTTCTCTACGACGGCACCTTCGTCAGCGAGCGCCTCGCCTCCCTTCCAGATGGTTGGTTCGCAAAGAACCGCATGCACTTGCACCCCGTCATCGTCGAGTTGATGGACAGGGTCGTCGCCCGCAACAGCTCCGCCATCGACGCCTACCGAGACCTACAAGCCAAGGCGCTGTATACGCGGCAAGCAGATAAGGTGTTTTCGCAGAGCGCTGTGGGCACCGACGTGCTCGTTGTGCCGACTGCGCCGAATCACTGGCGTATCGACGAGGTGCTCGAGGATCCCATCAAGAAAAATAGCATCTTGGGGGAGTTTACGCATTGCGGGAACGTGCTTGATCTTTGCGGCGTCGCTGTGCCTGCGGGCACGTATCCGTTGGCTGAGCTGGCGGGGACGAAGGAGGAGGGTGTGCTGCCTTTCAGTGTGACATTTTTGGGTGGTTCTCGTATGGATGCTTCAGTGCTAGAGATTGCGAGGCGGTTTGAGGAAAGCTTTGCTCCATTGTCTTGAAAGAAAGGAACTTGTCGCATGGTTTTCAGAGGCCTTTGCATTTGTGGGACGTGATATCGCATGGCGTTTAAGGAGTTTTTTGTGGCTGCTATCTCGTTGCTCACAAGTATACGATATGATGCATTTAGATGTCATTCTCTTAGGTTAGGTAGCATATGCATAGAGCAAGATGTGAGACATACCGTCAAACCTTTCGCCATGGAATTGCTGACATCGCTTGACCATATCGACTCACGAATTTTTCTGGTGGATGAGCATCGGCGACAACACCGTGAAATCACGACAGTATAAGCAAAGTTAGAGGTGGCCGAATCTCTCATTACTCATCACGACTACCTCATGCAGCCTTCAGACCGCTCAAGCGGTATCCACAACCACCCTTAAACAGGTATCAACAGCAACGCGTACCAAGACTAGCTCATCCACACGCGACCGCCAACCCCACTCAAGAGCAACTTGCAAGCGCGGCAACGATAAAGAATGGACAGCGGGAGACAATCTCATACCAGCTCATCCCCGAAATGCACTCCACAGGAATGACCAATCTTCCATCGAAACAAAGGAAAGCGGGCCTTGCGAAGACGTCGCAAACGTTCTGTCTCAAGCCCTCCCACCCCTCCTCACACCAACCGCGCCCTCGGTCGCCACATCCAGACACCCATCGAGGGCCGGGAGAAAGCTTGGAGGGACACGAATGATGCGGGGGAGTAGTAAGGGGAAGGACGAGGGTGTGAGGGGAAGCAATAGAACGGGAGAGTGGGGATAAGCGCGCAAATCAAGGACACAAGACTCCGAAAACAGGGGGGTTATGTTGTGCAACCAAAGCGTCGGCCAGAACCTCAATCGAAAAGAATAAAAGGACAGGAGGGGAGTCAATCCGGCTCGGAGTTTTTTGCTCTCTCTCGCTTGCGGTAGGGGTATCGATTTGGTTGCAAGGGTTGCGTTGGTGAAATCCTCAATTTGGTTACTCCGAGCTTTGTGGTTTGAACCTACCATGGTCTATGCGAACCGACTTAGATGCTCTTGGGGGAGCGACTGTTTCTGTAAACACCACAATTCAGTGAGCTATTGGCCTGGGTGAGAGCAGGCAGTAATGAGGCATGAGAAAAAGCCGAAGTCTAAGAGAGATGGGGCACTTGCGTCACATCCACAATATCATCAATGTGGTTGCACATAGCCACGAATAGGTCAAAGAACAATTTGCCGCCCATCTCCATTTCCATCTGCATCGTGCCGCTGCGCTTGAACGTCCGCCGGCTGCGGATAATCAGAGCAAGGTAATGAGCGCGGAGGCGGGAGTCGGTATCCGGCGTGTTCTCGTACGCGTACCGGGCACTGCGGAGGATGGTGCCAACCTCAATCCCGCTCTGCAGGCCCTGCTTGCGCAGGGAGAGCCGTTTAAGCTCTTCGAGGCCGTAGCGGTCCGCCGCGCAGTACACGGCCGTGTCACGGAGGATAACGTCGCCCAGGCCGGAGTGGAAGATTGTCGGCTCCACACTCCCGCGACCACCTAGTTTAGAGTGGGGATCTTCGTCGGCCGCCCCCTCGAGCATCCAGGTGTTACGCCTCTTGTCGTGCATGAGGCGGGGATAGTAATCCCCCTTGTAGAGGTACTCGAGGACGCAGGAGAATACTTCGGCTTCTTCGTCGGGAAGAGTGATGCGTCGAGAATTGCTCTCGAAGAACTGGTCCCGCAGCGCCGCTGCAAAGAACGGCGAGTGACTCAGTACGTCTTCGTGAGCGGCGAACAGTCGCTGGTCCGGGCCAATCACGATGGTGACTATGGCGCTGGTGAGGTTGGGGGAGACACTGCGAGACTATTAGGGGGAAAGTTTCCAAGGCTGCGCGATAGTGCATACCTCTCCAGCTGCGGACTGTCCAGCTTCTCGAACATCATCTTCTGCTTGGCAGTGTCGCGAAACGACCTCTTCGGTTGTTTGGTTATCTTGCCCGCCCGATCCTTTTGAGCAAAAGAGCGTTTGAACATGGTGGACGAAGAGAGGGATCGTAACGAGCGACGGAGGGCTGTGGAAAGAGTGTAAAGGTTAATTTGACGCGTTTTGCATGGGGAGCTCCGGAAATCACAGAGCGTTTCCTTTCCAAGGGAGGAAAAGTTGGCTCTGGTGACTTTGCGAGAACCTGCACTTGGGGAAAGCGAGATTCTGGCGCTGTGTTCGGCGGCTCTGGCTCTGACTTGTCGTGGAGAGGCGTACCGCGCACGAGGTGGGGGAGGCTGGCTCTTAAATAGATCGACCGCCCTGCCAAGCCACCCTGCAGCCTGCCCGTGCGTTAATCTAGGGCTGTGCTGGCAGCCGGCATGATTCGTCAATGCATATTCGACGGCGATGACTGGACGGTGGTATTGCAAGGCAGCAAGGCCGCGCGAGGACAGTGATGTGATTCGCAGCAACTGAGAGGAGGAGAGGGATTCGAACAGCTTCCATGCAGATGAAGAGTGCCACTCTCGACAAGGCTGTGGCTGCCAGCTCAACAGCTCAGCGCTGCCAAGTCGTGTGACGTCTGCACGGGATCCAGCAGCATAGCAAAGACGCATGACGAGAGAGGATCAGGAAGAGACACGATAATGAGAACGTCGAAGGAAAGTTTGTACTTGGCCTCAATACTGTCTGGGTGGCCCAGAGCGCTATCAGACTTGCCACTACTACCGCTTTACATTCTTCAATAATGTACCTCAAACAGTGCTGGGAACGTGTACACAGAACAGAAAGTGTGTAGCTCGGAGTAGAACTTCGCGTGGCTTCGTACGGATAGGTACAGCCCTGGACTCCAGCCGGCAGCATGGCGGTGTCACGGACCACGTCTGCGAAGTATGGCGTCCTCATCGCGTCGTACGAAGAGTATTCTGTTGACGATAGATGAGTCTCGAGTAGCAGGCGCTCTGTCTCCTTTGGCAGAGGTTGTGTTAATGTTTTGCTTGATGGTGGAGCTGTGACGAATGGTTCTTAGGTGGTCGTACCCCATCCACGTGGCTGTCATCATCTGGCCTACCTGAAGGAGTCGCCTCATCGAAGGAGAGTATCAGAGACGCCCAGCATGACCCATACCAGGCCAAGATAACTAACACACTTTTATCTGACTTAGAAAATATACGAGTACTTATTGCCGGGCCTCCTACAATCCACGAAGGGGCCGGATTACCAGATATCAAAGCTCTAAATAATTACTAAGCACTAATACCAGCAAAGAATCTTAACAGCCTTAATGCCCACAGAACCCTATAAGTACTTCAAGCACTTTCTAGCCATATGGGGACGAGAAGCACGCAAAGCTACTAGGTTGTTTGATCACGTGCTACTTAGTCATTAGCGTTCTTCGTTTAACTAGGATGCCTACAGAGCTCGACACCTTCCCGTGTGCCAAGAAATGCCAGGAACTGCCTTTTGGGAGACTCTGCCACGTGACCGCATAACACCTCAACACAGCACCGAAGAGAAGGTGATAGAGATGCTAGGAGCAAGGTGCTGCAAGACCCCGACCCGTACCTAGGCACCACCTGGGCACGATATATCTTAGCCTCAGCCACAACGCCACAAATCCCATATCAGCATCCCGGGCTGTCCTGACTCGAGGTTCATGGGATGAGATCATATAATGGCCACAATTTCGGTACGAAAAAGACTAGATAGATCCTGTAGAGGAGAATAAGACGACCTTTGTGTTTAATAGAACCGTCTTTGCTGTAGCAAACTCCGCAGAGAGCGCATTGTCGGCCGCGAGCCTCTCCACGCAGTCTGAATGTGGAAGAGCTCTAAACCCACACCCGTCTGAGTCACCCGCACTTCACCAGTAACGCAGCTGTATTTCAGAAACACGTCAGAAACACACTCGCTTTTAGGAGGCTGACACACGCCTGAGCTTTGGGCGACTATCTTCATCCAGGCGCCAGCCACTAGCTTTTCGCAGCCGAACCTTATTCCCATATCAGTCTGACGTTGCCTGCTGCCCTTCTCCTCGCCGATCGCTACATAGCACCTGCACCACCTCACTCACTTCCACAGCCTTCACCTCTAGCCTCCTACACCTCCCACTCTCTATCCTCACCATGGCGGCCGCACGGAAGCGAATCCTGAAGGTGTGCCCCTCCGCAGCCGTTTCCAGAGTGACGTAGAACTAATCCCTGGGCAGGAGTACACCGAATGCTCCAACGACACCCCACCAGGCATGAAGATCAACTTCGACGAGCAGAACATGACCGAGTGGGAGATCCTCATGGACGGCCCGGAACAATCAGTGTACTCTGTATGCCATCTTCCCCCCTTCTAGGTACCCCGCCGCCGCTCACTAACCCCACCTCAGGGCGGCCACTTCAAGCTGCGCCTCACCTTCCCCAACGAATACCCCTTCAAGCCACCGGTCGTCTCCTTCAAAACCAAAATCTACCACCCCAATGTCTCCAATGACGACAAGGGCTCCATGTGCCTGGGCATGCTGCGCCCGGACGCCTGGAAGCCGCCAAACAAGGTCATCTCGGTGCTGCATCTGGTGCGGACGCTGCTGATTGAGCCGAACGTCGATGATGCGATCGAGGCGAGTATTGCGAGTGAGTTCAAGGACAACAAGAAGGGTTTTGAAAAGACGGCGAAGGAGTGGGTGAAGCAGTATGCGAAATGAGCTGAGAATGGGGGAGCGGCAGAGGCCGGGGATATGGGTGGATCCAGTCTGAGATTTTGAGTCTCAGGCAGACATGAGGCATGCGGCTTGTTGCATTTGATGGCGTTTGGAGATCGTGTGGATTTGGCGTGGTCCTTCCGACATGGCTGCCTGGCGGCAGATATAGGTACTCCGGTCAATGAGGGACCAATTAACTTGCACGATATGAACAAGATTGCATACTATTATTGATCAACCGACCTTCGCACACTTTCAGAGATAGGAAGCAAGTTTGCTAATTCCCCTTCTGAGTACCGGTGTATAACGTCGTATGAGGTGGCCTGCAGGTTTACAGCTTGCTCAAAATGAATGAGTCACATCCCGTCTAGAGTCGTGAAGATGGATTGGAGGACTTCAGACCGTGACACACAAGTACACACATTTACATGTTCTAGTATTATATGATAAGAGACCTGCCCTACCGCTCAAGAAATACCTCATAACTAGGCAAATGCACAATCATCGATAGTCGTGCCCCAATCGCCGATTCCTGTAACACCCGTCCGTTCCCAACAGCTTTTCCGCTGAATTACACATCGCCGGCTTCTGACCAGAAAAAGGGAATGCAAGGAGAAAAGGTACACCAGAGACCCATTATGTCTCTAGCAAATTAACCATACCTGTTGGTGTCCGGTCCTCTACCGATGAAAACACTACTGAAAATGACCACACCGGGTCCCCAAACCCATCTTCTCACTCTTCAAGCAGCGTGACCGTCTCCGACACGTCCTGCGTTGCGGCCGCACTTCCCTCCCGGTTGCTAACAGCAGCCGCTCTATCAGTGGCCACACGCTCTCCTGCACCACTCCTTCCCCTCCTGCCAACCTCACTTCCACTTGTGCTGCCTCTCCTCTCCCTCACCAACCCTTCCAACTCTCTGATCCGCCTCCGCAACATATCATTCTCCCGCTTTGCATCATCGAGCTCAAGTTTATAGTGCGCCACCTCTTCATATCTAGGCGTGGAAACAACCGACGCACTTCTCACATCCCGCTCCTGCTGTGCCGCACCCGAATACCGGTGCTGGTGCGGAATCCCCACCGTCGTCGCATTGAGTGGGATACCCGCGGAGGTACGGCTGACGCTTGACGAGCTGCGATGGCGGCGCGAGCCAGTTGGGTGAGTGGGACCGTGAGTGGTTGCGGGGTCCGAAGTGTCAAGGAGCAGGCCTGGGTTGTTGGAAGTAGAGCTGGCGGTGGAGGCGACCGACGCAGAGTGCGCTCTGAGGTTGGAAAGCTCGCGAGTGAGGCGGTTGACCTGATGTCGCGACATAAGTAATAGTTACAGAAGAGGGGTCGGCGAGGGGTCAATTAGGATGAATGAAGCATCATTCCATAGTCGGGGTTGTATGTATGTGTGAAGAGGCCGGTCTTTTGAAGAACTGTATACATACAACAGCTTCCTGCTCTTTCTCACATTCCATGTGCAGTTCAGCTGCCGTCAAAGGCCTAGGATGTCTCATCGGCACTCCGCTGGCATCGACGCTCGGAAACGGTCCCGTGAGACTCGGACTCAGAGGTGGGAACGGCAGATGGCCATGCTGTGAGGTTACTGGGAGCGTGCCGCCTGGGGACGCCAGAGGCAGTGGTGGTGGGCTCATTGGGAATATTTGCGATGCGCGTCGAGAGGTTGTAGCGGAGGATTGCTGGGAGATTTGCTGCGGGGCTGACATTGAGTTTGCAGCGGGACGTGGTGAAGCGGGAACTGAATTCAGATCAGGAGCCATGGCTTGAGATGGGTGGTGTCGTGGATGCGTGAGCTGGAGGGAGAGCGCTGGAAGAGTGTTCTAGATATAGCCAGGACGCGTTCGAGTGTTCTTCCCTTCTCGACGGTCAAGCTAATACTAGAGCGTAAGTGCTAGAGCCAGGTGAAATACTCCAAATCGCCCGCAGAGAACTGGCTTTACATGTAGTTTCGCGTGGGGCAGACGCGCAATCTGGGATCTTCTCCGCCAGCAATAGCAGGGACCCGGGGTAGTGTGAAACGACGTGCCTGTACAGCAGATCGGCGATGGGGACAACAGAAGGGCTCAGGGCGGAGTTACTTGGTTGTTATTGTTTGCCAGGAGTTGGGTAAAGCATCAGCTTGATCCCGTTCTAGCACGTGTGGAGCCTGTTGCGTTGTCGTGGAGGTTTGAGTGAGAACAAGGCGGGATCCACTCATAGCCTGCGCCTCGTCTAGCCAGCATTAACGTGAAGCACTTCATCTCCACGCTTTTTGATTGGCAACCCGGCCTGATCTCTGATAACCTATTTGCACATCATGTTTGATGTTAGATGGATATGAGAGCATAATGAAGTCCTGAACTGGATATGCGCCTCAGAAAAGTACATGATCGTAGGGAACACCTGGCAAGAGCGATTTCACATTACTGGACATCACAGCAAAGAAGTCATATGTAGATCAGAACAGTATTTCATTGCGAGGAAAACCCTTCTCGGGTCCAAAACTTCTAAAATATGCAACCAAATCCACAAGCATCTCATCCACCTGACGATTCAGTTTCCACGTATGTATCTGTGAACACGCTGCCCCGAAGGAGTGACAAAAGGTGGGAATACATAGCCGGGGAAGGGTCGAGATAGCATAGTCTACAAGGGCCGGGTTTGTGCCCTGCATATACAAAGATACGGTGATACATAGAGTGAGACCTTGATTTTTGGAAGTGGAAGGAGAGGATGCCCGAGGGCGAAGAAGAGAAGAGGGGCATGGGGGAGACGAGTTCATATAGATTCTGGAGGATGCCCAGAACTGGATGACTCATTCAGCGTGTCGTAAGCATATTGATGAGCTCCATGGGTTGATGGCGGGCGACGAGGGCCCGGGAGAGCAGAACCGTGGCACGGGTGTCTGAAAACCTTGATGATGGCGTAAACACACGGGGCATGGAAAAGGTGACGATCTAATTCTGTAACAAAATGTCTCATGTGTACGCCTGTCTGCAACTGCTTGGAGTGCTTCAAAGCATTTTCAGGAATTGGAACGAGACACCTTGGGCTATGCGGAAATTCGTTGTAGCACCCCAAGCAGTGGCAAATAGGTGTACACACGAGATAGAGTGCTTAGTGAGTATGTCATTTTTTTCCACGCCCAGTGTGTGTAGGAAGGAAGATGTTATGAACAATAAGGAGATTTATTGAGTATAAGAGTTGATTAATGATCGACGGTAAGAGGGCACACGTGAGAGAGGATGCGTAAAGGAGCTATGTGTGAGGAAGTGGTTATGCGTGAGGAGAGGGGTTATGTGTAATGAAGGGGCGTAGAGAAGGCTTAATGTGATGATTGACCGTGTTTCTGGAATGCAATCGGGCAGTAATTAACTAACTAAAGGTGTTATCTGGCTTGCTAGCAGATCTGCTTCAAAGAAACAAGTCTATCCACACTCAATTTTCGAAACTTTAGCTTTTGATCGTGTCGTAAGGTGGCTCCCGCTTTACTTCGAGGTGCGCTCATATCTCATCCAGTGATACTAAGTCGAAGGAGCCGAGTCTAAAAGACGTCTCGTAGCTCCATGACCTTGTAACCACCTGCTAAATGGTGCCAGGGCTCAATCGGCCGACAGCAGGCCTCGCCCATGCTTCTGCTGTACTCCATTACTAGCCAGCACCAACGCCAATCCCCGCCATACTGCCCGCCCTGTACCGCAGTATCCCTTACCATGCAATACGAAAAATAAAATCTGGGACAGGCACGTAGTTCCTAGTAGGTTCTTGCCAGATTCCGGAGATACCAGTCTACTAGTCTCCTGCCAACCTTTGCTTCGGATACGTGGATAAGATCCTACGATTATTAGCACATATGGCAAAAAAATGATAGCCAAGGAATGTAACTCACTCCCTCCATAGCGTAGTCTAGATCGCTGCTGTTGATCAACTCGCCCTCGAGCAGACCTCCCTCACTCCATCTCACCTGCCTACTCCTCTGCTTGTTCACAAGTAACCAGCACCTTAGCTTGTCCGGCTCCACCTCAAGGAATCCGGCCAGCTTCTTTAGATCCATCGTCGTGTAGAGCTTGAGATAGCTCTTGACAGTCGGCGACCACATGTTGTTCTTGACTTCATCCATGAAAACTTTGAGATGGTGCTCCACCGGATCGATGTTAATTTCCGGGTTGTCGAAATCAGGGGGTGTGGGCGCGATGAACTTCGGGCATGCGGAGCGGAAGAGCTCCTCGTACAGCGGTAGAGCTTCCGGTCCTCCACGCTGGAGACGGTTGAACTGCTCACCGTACTTCTCGCGCAGGGCGGTGTGGATAGTGTCGTCCAGCCTGGTCGGGTGGAACGCCACACAGATTGCAATCAGTGCGTACATCTGGTCGTTCTTCTTCGTGATGGAGTCGTATTGTGCATTCTTCTGGAAATTCTTCGTCCGCGAAACATAGACGAGGATGTGGCTGAACATGCGGATGGCGTCGGCATATCGGCGCATCATCATGTAGGAGAATCCGACATAGTAGTAGGTCGTGAAGTGCGCGGCCATGACGCGGGCGAACATAGCTTTCTTGTTCAGCTCGATGTCGTCGAGCGTCTTAAGGGCGAGGCTGAAATCTCCGAGAAGACAGTGTACCCGTAGAAGACCGATGATAGAGAAGTATCCCAGCATCTTGTACAGCGGCCTGTTACCGTACTCTCCAGCATACAGGCTTCCCTCCTCCCCTCTCTTCATTGCCGCTAGTTGCTCACTGATCTGGGACCTCTGGATCAAGGAGTATAGGACGTTGAGGACACTGTAGCATCCCCAGGTATTCGGGTTGTCTCTCAGTAGTTGTATTTCCTCCAAATTATCCGCTTTTAGTGCGATTTTCTGGCGGTAGCTGCAGAAGCTGTTGAATTGATAGATGAACTCGTCGATAACGTCCCACGCCCAGTAGTACTGCGGAAGTCAGTATTTCTGCCTATATTCTCAGAGTACATTTCTCACCGAAGGAACCTCCAGGTCCACGGGCCCGTCCGAGTTCAGGATGAAATGGAACAAACTGCAGTAGTTGTCGTAGCTCGCAAATTTGGTCTCCAAAGTCGCCTGGAACTCCAGAGGTGTCGCGGCCGCTGCCAGCTGCGCATGAATATCCTGCCCGCTCCCTGAAAGCGACGTGACGCGGTCCAGTTCGTCCAAGCCGCCGTCGTACCGCACCTGCTCGCGGTAGTCATTCACGAGAGCCTCCTCCTCAACGTCAGACTCGTCGGCCGGGGCCCGAGCGGCGGTGTCTCCGTTGCGGTAACTCATCCTGGGGCTGGTGTAGTGAAAGCGTCGAGTATCGTCGTCGGCTTTGTCGATGTGGGGAGCAATTTCGTGCGCGGCTGTGGAAGTTTGGTACGGTATGCAAGAGGGCGAAATGTGCCGTTGTGGCAGTTCGAATTTGAGAAACTGCGCGGGAACGCCTCATCGTCTGCCGTAGCTAGAACGGCACACTTTAGCCGGCTCTCGCCTGAGGACTTCACGTATGGTCTGAGAATGAGCGTTCTGGCCGGCGCTATCGCTACCAGAGTGCGGCATATGTCTTCCCAGCGCGGGTCGTGTACCGGCTGCGACGTGCCGGACCCACCAGAATATGCTTTGCTGTCCCAAAATCGCGGCTGGCGTGCGGTTAACAACGTCGTGCCATCGACGGACGACGCCTCTTAGACAGCATGGCTTAAACGGGTCAGGCTTATCGATAGAACCGCCCCTCAAGCCCCTCCAGACGAGTCATGCCCGCAGGTAGCGGCAGCAAGGTACAAAAGCACCTCAGCGGGAACTTTCATAGAACAGCTTAGCGGGCCCTCTGTGTCTCTCCATTGTTCAGTTGTGTTCCAATCATGGCGCCAATCTACAAGATCGCCGTGGTCCAGCTCTACCCAAAGGTGACTACTCCACTATACTATCTAATATCTGGCCCTGACGATCTCATTACAGCCTATGCAAATCGAGAGCAACTTCAGTAAAGCAGAGACTTTCATCCGCTCCGCGGCGACACAGGGCGCAGAACTCGTCGTCCTCCCTGAGTATCACTTGACCAATTGGGTCCCGAAAGATCCAAAATTCCTCGAGCTATGCGGCCAGTGGGAAACCTACCTCAACAAGTACCGTGCTCTAGCTAAAGAGTGTGGGATATGCATTGTACCCGGAACGATCGTTGAGCTGCACAGGGGTGCTAAGAACGAGGAAGACAAACTTTTGAATGTTGCGTATTTCATTGACCAACAGGGGGAGATCATTGGGAAATACGTGAAGAAGAATCTCTGGTAAATATGTTCTCTCACAGCAACATCAAAGTCTTGCTCATAGATTGTCCAGGGGACCAGAAAGGGAGCACCTAACGTCGTCCGGCCGGGACGTCCATGGCGTGTTCGACACGCCACTTGGTAAGGTCGGAATGCTCATATGCTGGGACCTTGCCTTTCCTGAAGCTTTCAGAGAGATGATATCACAGGGGGCTAAGCTCATCATCATTCCCACATTTTGTAAGCATCTGATCTGCTGCTTGCGTCAAAAAGGCAGCCAGGCTGACGTGAGTTGAAGGGACTCTGAATGATTGCTCAAAGTTCGGAATCGCACATAATGCGAACGCTGAGGCTTTGTTCCTTGATAGCACTCTTACCTCAAGGACATTTGAGAATACCTGTGGTAGGTATCGCATTTTGGGGACTTCTTAACTGCCGCTAACGTTTGATTATAGCAATCGTGTTTGCCAATGCAGGAGGACCCGCAGGCCGGGGATACGCAGGTTTATCACAGGTTGTTGCTCCCTATGTTGGACCTTTGACACGGCTAGGCACTTGTGCTGAAGGGATGGCTGTCGTTGAACTCGACATGGCCCTTGTAGAGGACGCGGAAGTGAACTATCAAGTCCGGGCCGACCTGGCGAGAGACGACTGGCATTACGATTACCGACACGGTAAATCAAAAGAAAAATTATGATAGATGAAAACTCCAGGTTTGTACAGGTAGACATTGATATTGTAGCAATGCAAGACATAATTTCTGAAGTCATCCCAGACGTCTGGTAAGGGTACGAAAATTGTCCTACGTTTACATGCCACTGCCCAGGGTGTTTGGACATACTTCAAAACAGCCCAGTCAAAATTCTGGAAAAGGAAGATCACTTCGCACTTTGGGGCATGCCTTAGTACCAGAGTACTCAGACGTGTACACCGAAATACGGCTGATTGGGGTCCGTCCAAGCGTCATTTAAAATCTGGATGAGCTTTTGGGTTGGTCAAGTTGACTAACTGGTAACCTCGTCAGGGCACTTCGGTATTAAGCAATTGAGCACAATTGTGACAAGTACTACAGGTACCTCGTATTCATTACGAACCGATGCTCGACTGGGTATCTATACAAAGGAAAGAACCCTATGACAGAACACTACGTCCCAAGTCGAGGACGAAGGGTCAGAATTGAAGTGGTTCGTAGGAAAAGAACCGCAGAGTATTTCATACCAGGCCGCTAAAAACCGATAGGAAACCACATTGGCCACAGGAAACTATCCATCATAACTCACCATCTTGATTCTCGGCAATTTTCAGACGCAAAAGCAGCCCCTCGCAAAAAATGCTTGAGAAAGCCCGCTCGTGGGCGTGGTGCAATGCCCTGAGGACGTCCCACAGCTGCCATTAGGAAGAACCTTTGAATGTCAGCATCAGGCGAGAATACTAGCATCTGCCCAGCCTGTGAGCAGCACACCGTTACTAGAGTACAAATCCTCCCCATCTTCACTTGTTGACCTCGAATCGCTCTCGTCCATGTTCAAAAGCTCGAAGCGATTGGTGATCTTTGCAGGCGGTGGAACTTCCTTGGCAGCACGAGCAGATGATCGTGCAGTAGGTCCATTCCATGCTGCGTTAGAACCTCTTGGTATAGGTGCAGCACATTCGTCAGGGTACCACTCAATTCGCAAGCCCTTGTAGCCGGTCCGCGACATCATGCAAGTCCGTGCAAAGAGGGCGTTATGGACAGAATTGGTTGATATGAAGGCGTCGAAGCCTCTGAAGGTGATGTCGATCACTATCAGATTATGTATATGCTCGAGATCTTCGCGGATGCCTTGAGCAGTAAGCTTGCCAACCGCGCTGCGGATGACGATATTGCGAGTTGCGCCAATAGCGATCTTGTTCGCTACATGATTGGGCAGATGAAACTGTCGGTCATTCCAACGCGTCTCGATCTGTATGAAGTTAGCCTTTGGCTAGCGAAATGAAGTGCGTTCTGAGATGTCCGAGCGAGTTGGTGATTGTTTGGGAGAATAAACCTCTTCCGTTGAGACTTCCGAGAGTCTGTTAAAACACCCGTGACAGTCGACAAGAAAATACACGCAAACTAGTGAAGAGCCATTGTAGGGTGTCCACTTACTCGTTTGTCGTGGATATAGATGTCATTCCGTTTGGTATAGGCCAGGAAGTCTTGGGCTCCCTCGACGAACGATATCGTGGCCGAGCGGTCGTTTCGAAGGAAGATGTCCAGCAATCTACCTCCACGAACGATATCGACAAGATCCTTATGTGTAGTCCGGTCCGACAGATTCGTCAACAAGACTGTTCGCTGGTCATTGCGAGGAAAGGGTGGCTGTGGCTGGGACGGTTGAACCTCGACAGTTTCGGGACCACAAGATTCGTCTTTATCGTACGACCTGGCTGGGTAGGAATCAGGCACGTCACAAGCATTGCCCTGGTGTACGTGGTATGACGGGCGTGGCTTGGGCAAGGCGCCTCCAACGGCGGTGCTGTCCGAGGTGTCTGGCGACACTCCGCTGCTCTGAGGCATAGACATGCGGACAGGGACAGAGGGGGCCCTTGTGTAGGACTCGTCCCACATGCTGTAGGAGCCTGTCTCACAGCTGTTGTAGTCGTTCTCGCCATTGATAAGAGTCAATAGCGTGTCTTCAGTAAGACCACCGCGGAACAGAGCACTTCGAAGGACATCTACGCAAAAGAATGGTTAGCGTTGAGGGGAGCAGCAGAGCAAGCACGGCGTGAGGTCGTGCAGCACAGAAGAGGGGTGTACTTGCTGTATTCGCGGGCTGATCGGAGCAGAAACTCGTGCTCGGCCTTGGATATGGTGATACTGTTGGACAAGGAAAAGGCGGCGGCACTCGCCATGATGGTGGAGGGTGAGGGGATGCAAGGAGCACGAGGCACAGCTCGATTGGAGCTTCACAGGGAAAGGTGATCCAAGCTCCTGCACCCCTGCCGCATTCACTCGCTAACGTTAAGCGCACCCGCCGCAGTGGTCGAGTGGATACTGCGAGCCGCAGTGCTCCGTGTTGCTGTGCACATCTTGACTGGTGCTCGGGGTGCTTACGTCTTTTAGAAGAATGGCAAAGCGGAGGTTTGTGAGGTCACGGATCCTCCAATCGAGGGCTCATGAACATTCCCGGGTACATGGGCCACAGGACAAGATGCATGAGAAGACTTCTTTCGCGTTATCAAACAATTCCATATTACTCATGCATCATGTGCACTTCAACCCCCAAAGAAATTAGCACGCTTACTCAAAACACCATCCTCAAATAAACAACTCGTAGGAATAGCTACAAGTAGCCGTGATCTAGGGTATCAGACTCCACCAGCACACTGACGCGGTGCAACATCGTCAGCCTCCGACTTCGCTCTGCCCATATCAAATCATTGTATGGACTTCGGTCTATCCAACATGCCGCCGGAGGTATGACTCCCGGTGGTGCCGCACTACACGTCCCACCGGACTCTGTCCATGGTAGAAAACGTGACTAGCTAGACGTTCGCGTCAGTTTTGCGATTGCCTCGAAAGGTTTCCGCTTGGCCGCTTTGGCCGCTTCGTCCGCGAGTCTCTTATTCAGCGTCCGGCAAAATAGATCAACCGAGTCGGCGTGGCACCAAGGTGGTCCGTCTGGCGATGTTCACAAATTTGTCCAAAAGTAGAGAAAGCCACAAGTGGCCTGAGTCCTTGTTAGCTCGTGTGATGCGCCTCTGGCAGTAACCTTTACCGTGCACCACTCAACAACACTTTCCTCCCTTCCCCTTTCCCATTCTTTCGACCTCTGCGGATAGCTCCTCATTCTCGCCACCAACAGCAGGCATCGTCGGAAAGCCAAGCCAGCTCCGTCTTTTGTCGCTCATGCCAACCCTGAAGCTACCATTCCCGTCTGCTCCAGGGTAGTCGAAGTAGCTGTTGGCACCTGACCCCGCGAGCTGATGGGGTGTTGCTCCGGCCTGCATCATCAATTGTTGCTCTTCTTCGACTTTCTTGTTCCGCTGTTCGACCAGCTTCCGCGTTATGACCCGGAAGACCTCCTCCACGCCCTCTCCGTCCTTTGCACTGATCTCGTGGCAGCAGTCCCAGCCAATGTCTTGGCCCCAAAAACCACTCGATCGATTGCTTTGCGGCGATGTCATGCTTCCATTCTGACTATTGCCACTTCCGAATCCGGAACCCCATGTCAAAGCTGGTGTTGTAGTCTGAGAGGGGTATAGGTTCTCCGAGACATAGGCGATGCACCGATCAAACGGGACTTTGCGTTGAGAGGGGTCTTCGGCTACAATATCAGACTTTGTGCCCACGACATGAATAATTATATCGTCGCCAAGATTCTGCTTGAGCTCGCGCAGCCACCGGCCCATTTCCTCAAACGAGTGAGGGTCCGTGATGTCGTAACAGAGGACGCCTGCATTTGCGCCTGGACACTCATTAGTTCAGGCGTTCTTTCACAGGATGGATCATGTTCGACGACGAAGATGGTCTGTTCAAAGTAAGCTTACCTCTGTAGTAGAGTTTAGATATGGATCTAAACCGCTCCTGTCCTGCTGTATCCCAGATCTGCAGCCGTACCACAGTCGATGTATCGATGTCCACCACTCTTTTTGTCAGAAAGGAGGCACCAATGGTAGAGGTGGTGTTAGGTGGCGTGAATGCATTCTTCACATATCTGTGCACGAGAGACGTTTTGCCTACGCCCTGCGAGCCTAGGACCACGATTTTGGCTTCGAGACTGTTGGACATGGCGGACACAAGCCTGTAGATGCTGAACGACGGATGGGGCGCGTAGGAGCGCGTAGAAGGTTTATAATAGTTCCTGTGCGCGAGCAGCGGGGTGAAGCCGTGCACGAGATGCAGAGGCTGAGGATAGCGCGGCAGATGTACTGCGAGAGCTACAGACGCGGCTGGGTGGTGGAGATTAGACGGAGCGGGACGGTAGACACAGCGGGCGGCCTTCGCATGGCGTGTGTCTGTCTGTGTAGCGCAGAAGCAGGCCTGGTGTCGCAGGTCAAGGTTCGCGGGGTGTCAACAATGAAGAGACTCGGAGTCCGTGCTGTCGGAGAGAGGACGAGGCGGCTGGGTGCCCCGGGCCATGTGACGCCCATCCGCATCGTCATCATCGAGTGCTGGGCGCTTGACAGCAGAATCCTCGAGATTCGAGTGTATTCACTCGCTTTTGCTCGGAGACAAACCTCAGACAGCCGGTCGTCGTTGCTGCACGCAGTCGGTAGGAGGTAGCTTGTCCTTCTAGCGGCAGTCGGATTGCCTGTTCTATCACCTGCAACCGTGGAACTATTTCTCCGCACCGCCCTACTGGTTGGCCTCGAGCATTCCAAGCTTCCCGACCCTGCTTGCATCCATCCCATGCGCAGGTGCAGCTGTCTTCATTCGTCCTTGCTACGTTGACCCCTTCTATTGGCATTGCCCCATTATTGTCCTGCAGCCGAACCCGATGGACGGAATCCCACTCCACTGAAAAGTGGGTTGCAGAATATCGAAAACTTCTTTGCTGCCTCGTCGGGTCGGCAATCTTGGGATCGAGCATGGCCATGCCACCAAACGGAGATGTGGAACTGTCCCATCTGGATCCCGTAGCGTGCACCCGCGTTTCCAATCATTCCTCTCATTGCTCCTCTCCAGTTCCATGCCCGTCATCAGATCCTCCTTCCACCGACTCTCAGCTCCCGGCAGCAGTAAAAAGAGGACTCTTCGTATCCCACGCGCTTTCAACATGGAACTCGAGAGTCTTCGAGTTCGGTGCTGTTCTATATCTCGCATCAGTCTTTCCAAACACTCTAATGCCAATGTCAATATATGCTTTGATTCGCGGCATCTCCGCTGTCGTTTTTTCTCCAATGATCGGCAGTTACATTGACGCCACGAACCGGTTACATGTTGTTCGCCTCTCTGTTGGTAAGTTGTCTAGCAGCAGGAGAAGCCCAAGCTGACAGATGTGATTTACTTTATTCAGTCATGCAGCGATTAGTAGTCTCGGTGTCATGCCTAGGGTTTTGGCTTCTGGTTACTAGGCGGTCGATTCCACCGTTTTTGAAGATTGGGCTTTTGGGGTTCCTTTCTGCGCTTGCTTGTGTGGAGAAGCTCTCGTCTATCATGAATCTAGTTGCGGTAGAGAGAGACTGGGTAGGCTTGCCTTAGTTCATCAAGGTTCTAATATCCTAACAATTGATCTAGGTTGTTGTCATCTCTGAAGGCCACGAGCCTACCCTTAGAGGCAAGTTCCTGCTATCCATCCGTGCCACTATCGTCAGTGGATCTGACATTTCACCAGAACTCAATTCCCAAATGCGGCGGATTGACTTGATTTGCAAACTTGCAGGTCCTTTCTTCATCACCGCACTCGATGCTATATCCACCGAGATTGCAATATTAACGAACCTAGCTATGAATGCAGCTTCTGCACTCGTGGAATACTACGCTATTGCTAAGGTGGCGAAATTTCTCCCTCAGAAGAATCAATTTTGCTAATATTAATAGGTCTATAACATCACTCCAGCCCTTCAAGAAGCCAAAGATGTCTCTAATCCTTCCATGGGAACCGAGGCAACCAGTCGCTGGATCACCTTGCAACGGTGCAAATCTGGCATTCTTGCCGTGGCAAGACAGATTAGCGCGTACCTTACCCATAGAGCTATCCTCCCCTCCTTCGCTGGCGCTCTGCTCTACTTTACTGTGCTCTCCTTCAACGGCCAGATGGTCACATATCTCCTTGCGACTGGCTACAGCTCCCTCCACATTGGCATCATGCGCACCATCTCGGTTGCCTTTGAGCTATCTGCAACTTGGCTGACACCACTCTTGATGTCGAGAATTGGTCCAATCCGCACTGGAATCTGGTTCCTTAACTGGCAGATCACGTGCCTAGCTCTCGGGGTTTGCGTTTATACAACAGCGTCATCTCCACTTATTTCGTCCACCGGTCTCGTAGGAGGCACGATCCTTAGTCGTGTAGGCCTGTGGGGATTCGATCTTTCATCACAGATCATCATCCAAGAGGACGTCGAGGCAGACACTAGAGGGTCATTCTCTACTCTCGAAGCGTCAGGGCAGAACTTCTTCGAGTTATGCTCTTTTGCCACGACCATCGTGTTCTCCCGCCCAGATCAGTTCCAGTGGCCGGTTTTGATGAGCTGTGCAGCGGTTTTTATGGCTGGTGGACTATACGCGACGTTTGTGAGGCAACGCAGGGGCCATTTGATACACTTTTCCAAGTGCATGGAATTGAAAGACAGGAGGAAGAGGCTATCTGGATTTAGATACGCGAGGCTGTCGCAGGCAGATGTTTAGAGTATACTGCCTAAGTCAGCCTGGAGAGCGTAATGGCTGCTCAAAGCACTTAGTTTCCGCCGAATTCGAATTCCTGAAACCGTGTGACACTGTGGATAATGTTGGTAAAAAAATAAAATTACACATAAGCCTGTGACGAGGCATTGTAGAACCACAGTAAATGGTAGCACGATATGTTTGTTCACGGTAGTGTCACGTGACGTGGCTCGGTAATGGCCTATTTAGGTAGTCTAGGGCTCTGCCGTCTGCTTCGAACATACTCCGGAGTCGAGAGTAGACTCGACCATCTGTCAGAAGCTCTCAGGCCTATCCCGAGGGCCTATGATCCTCCACCTACTAATGCCGTTCTATTTGACGTGCCTGGAGAAATCAAGGGATTACAGAAATAATTAACCTCGGTTCATTGGCGATTCGGCTGGGGTGTGGATAAGTTGCACCGCGCAGGCGCGTCGACCTCAAAAGTATTTCTAGTTGCAACTGTCTTTCGGGCTCCATCTCTCTAGAACCATCTTGATATTCCATAATGTCTTCTTCTTCGCGTATTGACCAGATCGCAGGCCACTTGAACTACCCCAAGGGTCTGCTTGCGGGGCAGGTGGCTATCATCACCGGATCTGGCCAAGGCATCGGAGCGGAAACTGCGAGACTCTTCGCAAAGGAGGGTGCAAAGGTTGTTGTCTCTGACATTGATGGCAGTAAGTGTGGTCAAGCTTCAGGCTCAGTTCATAAGCTCCCATCTTTCTACGCATGCTGATCACGCCAATTGCTTGTAGAAAAGGCGTCAGATGTTGCCGACAGCATCAAGGCGGCTGGTGGCAGCGCCACGAGCGTTGCCGGTGATATGCTCGATGACAACTACATCAACGAGCTTGTCAAAAAGGCGGCGGAATTTGGCAATGGCAAGATTCACATCATCGTCAACAACGCTGGATATACGTGGGACGGAGTAATCCACAAGGTAAATCACCTTCCCTCAAAGAGAACGGCTCCTATCCCAGGGCTTCTCTTTCGGCCTTCCTGAGTGCCAAATGGACTGACCAATTGCTTTCTAGACCACCGACAAGCAATGGGAGACCATCATTGCCCTCCACAACACCGCACCTTTCAAGCTAGTCCGCGCTGCAGCTCCCTACTTCCGCGTCAAGGACGGCGAACCCCGCTGCATTATCAACATATCCTCAACCTCCGGTCTTCACGGCAACGCTGGTCAAGCCAACTACGCCCTAGCTAAAGCCGGCGTGACAGGTCTGACCAAGACCATTGCAAAGGAGTACGTAGAACCCATTCTCTTTTAGCAAAACCAACTAACTATTGTGTAGGTGGGGTCCTCAGTACGGCGTTCGAGCTAACACCGTTGCGTTCGGACATATTTTGACCCGTCTGACGGCTGCAAAGGAGGCTGGCGCATTCATCACGACACCAGATGGTCAGAAGGTTGCTTTGGGCATACCTACAGGAAAGGGCGCCCTGGCATCTGCCGCAGCTAAAGAACAATACACCGACATTCCCCTGAGAAGACCTGGCACAGCGACAGAGGCAGCAGGCGCGGTCCTTGCTGTTTGCTCGCCGCTATTTGCCTACGTTAATGGACAGACAATCTCGGTAACGGGAGGCCGCAATATGTAAATTGCAGGAAAATTTTAGCGGTTACTAGTCGTAAGGAGTTCGAGGACGGGGAAACGCACATCATCAGATAAGTTCTGGCACCTACTTATGGGACGAGCGTGGCTTGAGTGGATGAGTGCAGGCAATGAGGGGATGTCCGAGTGGGTACCCGTTGATGTAAACCCAAGGACTGCGAAGGGCGGTATTGATGGTAGGAGCAAGTCAGATGATGCACTTGAGGTTTGAGAGGATCATTAGTAGGCCAAAGACTGTTGCTAGATATACTGTACATAATCATGTCTTCTGATCATTAATTCTGGAACCGAATCTTTAAAATAACCATGGCATTAAGCAAAGTGTGAAGGATAACTAATTGAAACTGGCGTGGATAGGTAGAAGAGAAGAGTGGTGGTAAGGTCCTTGGCGGAATGAAACTGAGACCGGGCCTCCCCAACCTTAAAACACCTCTCGATCGTCAGCCTCCTAGGAGCACTCCACCCCAGCTGTCGATGTACAACTCGTTCCTTTTCGACGTTCTTCTCTGCGTGGACCAATCCGCAATATAATTTACCCCTTCCTACAAAACTTACCATGGGCTCGCGGTAGCCCTCACATTTCTAATCATCTCACCACCAACCCCCTCGGGCTATTCAACGTCTAACCGCACACAATCAGGGACCTGGTGTCCCCACCACTCCTCAAATGGTTGATGAAAAGCACCTCTACGACGCCCACGAACACCTCCCTATACCCACCTACGAAGAGGCCACCTCGTCGCGCCCCTCCTCCTCGCAGTCTCGCCTCGGCCCCTCCGAAATCAGCGACGATGCGGAACGGCAGGGTCTCCTGGGTCTCGCCAGTACTTCCACATCCCGCCGTCGCAATGGATACCATGCGCCGTCGGTTCAGTCTGTGCGATCGAGCGAGGATAGCGATGACGACCTGGACCTTCCAGAGGTAATGGCAGAGGCCGAGGAGGGTGCGCTGCGGCGGGATATCGAGGAGATGGACTTCCTAGACGCAGAGGCAGCCGAGGACGGCGCAGCGCGGCGGGCACGCATGCGCATGACGTTGTCGAAGCGCTTCTCGAGCTTTACCACCAAGTGGAAGTGGCCGGCTTTCAGCTTCAGCATGCCCTGGCCAAACTTTGGGTGGTTAACAGACCGGTTACCGCGGATACCGGAGCAGTATAGACCTGGGTGGTCGGTCATCGCACGGCTCATAGGACTGTTCGTCATCGTGTCGCTAATCTATCTGCTATTTGTGTCGGAGGTGCTGCCAGTGGGGAACAATGCATTCGGACAACCCTTTAACCCGGAATGGGTGCGGAGCTTTGCACAAGGGAGCATACAAAAGCCGCGAATAATCGAGAATCTGAGGCACATCACTTCGTATGACCATGTGGCCGGCTCGGAGGGAAGCTTGTATCTGGGGAAGTGGATTGAGGGGAGGTTCAGGGCCGCGGGAATGGACAGCATTGATCACGATTTGTAGGTTTCATACTTCTTGTTCATTCTTACGACTACTCACGGGCCTAGTTTTCACGTTTACCTCAACTACCCTAAAGAGGGTGGCCGCCGAGTCGCTATTATCGACCCACCTGACATGGCTTGGGAAGCAAAATTGGAAGAGGACTCGGTATATGAACATCCTACACCTGAGCAGCAACAAACGCCCGTGTTCCATGGGCTGTCCAAATCCGGAAATGCTACTGGCCCATTAATATATGCAAATTACGGATCCAAAGAGGACTTTAAACGGCTAGCTGACAGCCATATCGACGTCACCGGCTCTATCATTCTAGTGCGTTATGGTGGAACGCAGACTGATAGGGGCATGAAGGTCAAAGCGGCCCAGGATGCTGGAGCCGTCGGCTGTCTTATTTATTCGGACCCGCAGGAAGATGGATTCATCAAAGGGGCGCCTTGGCCGAATGGTCGGTGGCGACCAAGAGATGGCGTACAAAGGGGTACGGTAGCTCTCACTAGCTGGATTGCTGGGGATGTCCTGACTCCCGGATATGCTAGTACTATGGAAGCGGATCGTATCAGCAAAGACGACAACCCTGCGCTCGTAAAGATCCCGAGCCTTCCGTTATCCTGGAGCGATGCGCAAAAACTCCTCGCAGCCCTGAAAGGACACGGTGAAAAGCTTCCGGAGGAATGGGTTGGCGGTGTTCCAGACATCGCAGAGTGGTGGTCTGGCGACAAAACTTCTCCAAAGGTGCTTCTACAAAATTTCCAGGACGAGTCTGAAAAGCAGGCGATTTATAATGTCATGGGCACTTTTGAAGGCATTGAATCCAAGAAAAAGAAGATAATAGTTGGCAATCACCGCGATTCTTGGTGCTTTGGAGCCATAGATCCGGGAAGCGGTACCGCCGTGATGCTTGAGGTCATTGATATCCTTGGAGCCCTTCGCGCGACTGGCTGGCGTCCTCTGCGAACGATCGAATTTGCGTCGTGGGATGCCGAGGAATATAACTTGATCGGATCGACAGAATATGTCGAGTCCCGCATGGACGCACTTCGAGCCGATGCTATAGCGTACATCAACGTCGACGTTGGCGTTTCGGGAGACGAGATCTACGCCGACGGCTCACCGTTATTCAGGCACGCTTGGCTCCGCGTTCTCGATCGAGTTGCTGACCCTGTCCGCAACAAGACATTGCGTGAAGTGTGGGATCAGAGTGGTAATAATCTCGGGGGTTTGGGAGCGGGAAGCGACTACGTGGCGTTCCAAGACATGGCGGGCTGTTCAAGCATCGATTTTGGCTTCAACGGACCTGGATACCCCTATCACAGCTGCTACGAATCGTTCGAGCTCCTCGAACGTTTCGTAGACCCTCATTTCAATCTTCACAAGACCCTGGCCGAGGTTTGGGTTCTTCTGATTCTTGAACTTGCCCAGGAACCCATCATGCCGTACAACATGGACGACTACGCAGCAGCCATCAAGGGCCATATTGACGATTTGGATAAATTCGCGCGTGCCATCGGAAATGTCGACTTCGATGTCACCCCTCTTCGGAAGGCGTCTGCTAAATTCGAGAAGAATGCCAAGAAGTTCACAGGCTGGGAGGATTTCTGGTATGGCCAAGTGTACGGGACAGGTCAGTCACAGCTGTTCAACATTTTGTTCGAGATTTCGATGCTAACATTCCGCAGGAGGTTTCGAGAGCAACACGTTACAGGTCCACCGTCTCGCTCACAACGCCAAAATGTCCGATTTCGAGTCACATCTGCTAGACTTGCCGCAGGGGAAAGGTGACAAAAAGCCTCACGGAGTAAGAAAATATCTGAAAACCCACAGACTGCTGAAGCTAACTTTGTCTCGCAGATACCAGGCCGCGAGCAATACAAGCACATCCTCTTTGCCCCCGATGCATCTGGATCAGGGTACGATGCAGCGTTCTTCCCATTCGTACGAGATGCTCTTGATGCGCGGGATTGGAAGCTTGCTCAAGAGCAGCTGCAGAAGTCAGCGGATATTTTGAGCAGGGCTACCGATAGTCTTCTGCATTGAACAGTACTCTGAGCGACCAAGTCCTATCTCGTCTTTTTCATCGCGTTCGCTGATTGCTCTGTATCATAAGTACGTTGCTAAGGCTCGTCACACTGCTGCTCTCAGTCTTTTATACGTCTATATTAACTTTGGCATTGCAACATGTTTCTACCACTGGCATCTCGGCGTTCAATCAAATGGTTAAAGACGCGGCTGTAAGGTTGGAATTGAGGGCGTGGGCCGGGTTGATTGCAATGGCTTTCTGTTTTGTATGTGTAGCGATTGGGCGGATTTAACGTTCACTGTGACAACCCACGTACTTTCTGTATCATCAACATCTTGAATACTAGCTCGCACCAAGTGCTGATGTAGACTGCGTGTCTCCAATTGACTAAAGTCTTTAGTGCAACAGCAGCCAACTAGATGAATCTAGAGTACAGAATTATCGGGAAGGTTACTACCCCTTAACCCGTCGTGGCGCAACGCTCGGAATCTACAGTGAACATAAAGCGGCAGTCCGACATCGTCTGAGGTGGCCCGCAAAGGTATCAGCCTCGTCGACATTGTCCTTTTCCGATCTTTCATAATGTGGTAGAGGACCTCAAGCGGTACTAGGCAAGTGTACAAAACGCCAAAAAGGGAATGTGTTGCTCAAGTATTTCGCTGCAGTTCTGAAGCTTTCTATTGGCTGCATCCTTATCGATACCGTAAAGCCAAATGCGACGGGTTGAGGGCACGTAGGGCATGGAAAAGGTGGCACACTAATTCTAGAACTAGCTGTTTCATGTGTGCACCTGTCTGCCACTGCTTGGGGTGCTTCAATGTATTTTCAGGAATCTAGAGTAGAAGCTCTTTGCCTTGGGCTATGCGGAAACTTGTCGAAGCACTTCATGCAGTCGCAGACAGGTGTACATACGGGCAGAGTACTTGATGAGTGTGCCGCTTTTTCCCTGCCTAGCGTGGAGGGACACCTCTACTTTCTTTATCAGATGTGAATGGGCGGGGCCTACCCCACATGCCGGAGTCATGAAGAATTCCCGAGACCCGAGCGTGACTCGTCTCAACGCCGCCACCCCTCCAGCGAAGGCGGCTATTATTGTCCAGCTGCAACATCAACTTCATGCTTCGTACCTGTTCCGATTCTCGCACTTATTAATATTATGGATGGTGTTCCTCTCGAATGGGTGCGGGCCGCCCTTCGAGATTCTCCCTCTGCCATGTCTCTGCTTCCTTGGATCGATGACGACAATATATGGGCGATAGACGGTGGTGCAGGCCTACAGGATCCAGGAAAGGACCCACGGTTTCGAAAGCTCGTAGAGGCGGTACGATACCAACGGAGACTTCTCTTGTCCTACAATGCTGTTCTCGTTGGATTACTTCTATTGTTCGCCATATGGCATTGGGGAGAAAGGATTGCCATGTCCCAGAGGAGAAGAGCAATGGCGATAAGCGCAGCCAAAGAAGATTTTGAGCCGAAAGGGACAGAGCAAGGAGAGCCAGAAGTCGTGGATGGGTCTTCGTCATCATCCAGTAGCACACTCGAAGGGACGTCGACGCCACCAGACGCCGGGAAAACGGTGATAAACGACGAACGTGAACCACTGTTGCCAGGACAGAGAAAGACATCCAGGAGGTCGGGTGGAATATTACACTATGTGAAGATGCGGAAAACCTCCGAATTCACTAGAGAAGAAAAGAGACCGACACTGTTCCAACACTATGTGCAAGCATGGCTGATGTACCAACCAAGGCCGATTCCGAAGATTAACAAGACGCTTCCGCCTAATGGAGTGTCCCTGGTAGTCCTCGCGTTCCTGGGACTGAACGTCTTTTACGCTTTTTTCCGGATGCCAATGTCTCTACAGTATCTGTTCGTGTTCGCCGACCGCTGTGGCCTTATCTTCGTTTCTAATCTACCCCTTTTGTATCTTTTCGCGGCAAAGAACCAGCCAATCAAATGGTTGACTGGCTACTCGTATGAAGCTCTTAATATTTTTCACCGTCGGGTTGGTGAGCTGATGTGCTTTGCGGCGCTTTTGCATTTTGGTGGTATGCTAGGGGTATGGTACGGAATGCTTAGACACATTGGATTTTCTCTCGCGCGATTTCTGTTCAGTAGACTCTCTCTCCTTGGGCTGTTAGCTTTCGTCGCATACCAACTGATCTACCTTACGTCTCTGGGAAGCTTTCGGCAACGCTTTTATGAACTTTTCCTGGCTCTCCATGTGGTCCTTCAGAGCGCCGCGTTAATTTTACTCTTCTTCCATTATCCGACAAGTCAGCCATACGTCCTAGCAGCGAGCTTCATATTCCTCATCGACCGTCTAGTCTTCCGCCTTGGACTCAAAACGCACACTACTCGCGCCACGCTCTCCATTCTTGAAGACGGGGAAACCGTATCTGTCTCCGCGAACTGGGACATACCACCAAGCTCTCACTTTCTTCATCCAACCCAACAAACCATCGAATTCGGCTGGGGACCTACCGACCATGTCTTCCTTTCCATTCCGTCTTTGTCCCGAACCGATTTTATCCAAACACATCCGTTCACGATTTTCTCGGCCGCTCCATCTCCTTCGGCATCGTCAGACACCCCAACTCACGCCTGGCTTCACCTTCTTATTCGTGCTCAATCCGGCTTCTCCCTCACCCTTCTCAAATACGCCCGTACCAATCCGATCACCACCATCCGTCTCGACGGGCCGTATGGCTCCTCACACGCTCTTGAAACGCTCCGCTCAACTCCGAATACAGTCGTAGTGGCTGGCGGCTCTGGCATTGCCGTCGCATTCCCACTCCTTTGGACTCTCCTGGCTCCTGCGTCTTCCTCGTCGGATCCCGAGTCTACAGCTCTTGTGGCTAAGCGACGTCGGGTGCATCTCCTCTGGGTCGTCCATGCGCGCGAGCATCTCTCATGGCTGCCAGTAGAGCGGCTGAAGGAACTGAAGAGTTGGGGGTTGCATGTTGTGATTACGGCACCGACTATGGAGGCAGGAAGGCCGGATGTCAAGGGATACCTGAGGCAGTGGGTTGCAAAGACTGACAACGGCTCCGGGTCGGGAGTAGTTGTTTCTGGTCCGGATGGCATGATTCGAGATGTGAGGAATGTGTGTGCGGGGTTGGTAGGGGAAGGGAGAGACGTCAAGGTCGTGGTGGAGAAGTTTGGGTGGTAGGTGTCATGGGGGGTTACACAAATGGAGGGGTCTGGTATCTAAGAAGTGGACTTTCGGTGCAAATTGAGCGATTTGAAGGTGGAGTTCCTTGTGTTTTCAATATTCCGGCGTTATCGCATATGCAATAGCAAGAATTGGACGTCTTGAGGGCTTGATAGAATTTCATCGAGTGCCTTTATCCATTTTCCTCTTTCATTACTGTACTCAGACGACTAATACACGACCATTTCTGATCCATTAATAGTCATAGCACCCAGAATACGGGCGTATGCACCACCATTCATACCCACCGAATTTCCCAGAGTTAGATAGATATTTTGCTTCGATGCAGACGCCGCTCCCTAGAGGGAGAAACAGAGGCCAAGCGAAACCTTGAAGCGCTGTCTATGCTTATAATCCGAGCCAGCAAACTGAGATATAACCCTATAACCACAGAACCAATACTCGTACGTATCAAGTTGCTGAGAAAATATAATGTCGGAGATATTGATCATTTCGCAGCGCCGGGGTATCGCGTCTTGCCGACGGTGAAGGGGACGTAGCGGTACTTAATCATGTGCTGAATTTGCCTCCGCACTGTGGTTCGGTCAGCCTTGTTCGCACGTACTAATGCCATATGGAAAGCCGATGCGGACGGCGCAGCCTCGACTAAGGGTTCGACTTACTCGTCAGGCTAAACAGAATGAGCCAGTATACTACGAGAACGGGCCAGAAAACGGGCAGATTGAAGATCTCGAACCAACTGCACACGAAGCCGATGGCGATGGCCTTGGTGGTCGAATACCAGAACTTGAACTCTGGCAGGCGCCTCACAAAGGGCTTGAACTCCTCCTCCTCCTTGGTGGGTAGACCGCCGGCTTGGCCGTCCTCCATGCCCTCATCCTGCTCTAATGAGGGGTCGAACTTTGGGGAGATGAAGGCGAGGAAGAGGTTGAGAAGGTAGATGCCGAGGGAGTAAGCCACTATGTAGCAAGTCAGCACGTAGCCGTTAGACAGCCTTTACAGCCGTTACTGACCAATGTACCATCCTTGGGCAAAGAATATGCGCAAAGCGAAGAAGAGAAAGAGCGCCGCCGTCCCCACCCATCGGTAGGTCATGAAGGGGGTGGATTTGTCGAGGTAAGCCTGGTATATCTGGATCCCACAGAGTCAGCTCCAAGTCTCTTCGCGTTGCAAGACCCAGGGGGGTGTTCAACTCACCCTTCCATATTTCGAGGTTTGCGCCGTGACGGCGGCGAAAGGGGTGTCGGGCTCAGGCGCATCCATTGTGGAGGGCTGCGGCGGCGGAGCCTTGGGTGTGTGTAGAGTCGGGGCCGCGGTGGATGTGATTCGGGGGGCGTGTCGGTGGAGAAAGGCGCTGTCGGGGTGTTGGTGGTGGAATTGTTGCGACGTAAAGTTTGGCTTGCGACGTCGATCGTGTCCACGCAGCCAGCCTTGGCTCCAGGTTTGCCAGGTTCGACGCCAGCTAATTCGACGCCTTGCCGCATCTGCCTTAGCCTGGATATCGGAGGGCGGAACCATTCTTCCGTCCATGCTTTCTCACGTGGCGGCATTATCTGACCGCTTTCGGTAGTGCTCGGTAGAACAGTAAGGAAATAACCGCGACTCCATCCAACCTTCAATTCCACCTCTTTTTCTGCCATTGCTCATTGAAATGTTGGCTTCACTTAGGGCATCGCGGAGGGTCTCCTCCCAGTTCCTGCCATCCACGCTTCCCCGCATTGTCCGGTCTTACTCCTCCTCCACCACATACGAGCATATCATTGTATCAACACCAAAACCTGGGGTTGGTTTAGGTAAGACGCCTTATCAACATGCACTTGTTTCCACTGTTTGCATTGCCTCAATGCCTTTCCAAACCCACGTCTGAGATGGACGTTTGCCTCTCCCTTTTTGAAAAATATGGTCACCCGCTGGGCTACCGCAAGCAGTGGCACAAGAGTCTTTACATACCTACGACGAGTCACTGTAGTATTTATCAGAGCATAGCAAAACACTAACAATGCTACCATCGTAGTGACTTTCAACCGACCAAAAGCCCTCAATGCACTCTGCTCGCCCCTCATCGTCGAGCTCAACGGAGCTCTAAAGGACCTTGACTCAAGCAAAGAAATCGGCGCAATCGTAATAACAGGGTCCGAACGAGCATTCGCAGGTGCGACGCTCTGATACAAAGCTTGAAACCCACTCGTCGATCATACTGAACCCTCATAGCTGGTGCCGATATTAAGGAAATGAAGGACTTGACCTTCTCCGCCGCCTACGGCACCGACTTCATCGAAATGTGGTCCGACTTGACCGTCCGCGTCAAGAAGCCCATTATTGCTGCCGTCAATGGCTACGCCCTCGGTGGTGGCTGCGAGCTCGCCATGATGGCTGATATCCTATACTGTTCCACTGGCACCACCTTTGGCCAGCCCGAGATCAAACTCGGCACAATCCCAGGCGCGGGAGGCTCACAACGATTAACAAAGGCGATCGGGAAGTCAAGGGCTATGGAATTGATCTTGACAGGAAACAACTTCAGCGGGAAGCAGGCTGCTGAGTGGGGACTGGCAGCAAAGGCGTTTGAGACGCCCGACGAGTGTTTGAACGGTGCGATTAGCACCGCAGAGAAGATTGCGAGTTATAGCAAGATTGCCGTCAAGGCAGGTAAGGAGGTTGTAAATAAAAGTCAGGACCAAGGTATCAAAGAGGGTGTGGACTTCGAGAGGAGAGTATTCCACAGCTTGTTTGGAAGCAAGGACCAGAAGATCGGCAAGTACATCTAGCGTTTTTACATTCTATGGACTCGATTCACTAATTAGTGTTCAGGTATGACTGCTTTTGCCACAAAAACGAAGCCGGAATGGTCCCACGAGTAATATACTTAACAATAAAATTATATCCAAGCTGCCAAGTAGATTCTCGTTCCGTTGTTTCAGTCAACTATCATGACTACTTATAAGCTGAACCCCCTTTAACAAGTGAAACGATGCTGTTTACATCTATCTGCCTAGAAACTCTGGAACGCTAAAAACAAGGCACTAAACCGAACCATCACCAAGACAAGGGTTGTGATCATAACACTTCATGGGTCCTACATAAGTAGATCCCTCTGACTCAAGAATGCAAAACAGCTAGTCACCTTGCCGTCCACATTTCCTTTGCATACCCCAATATCGACCGAAACACCTTACAATCCGAGGTGGTTCTGCTCATCCGACTTCTTGTCTCCCACATCCGACTTCTTCCCTCCTATAGACTCGCCCGCCTTGTTGGTCGTGTCGGTAACCAGGCCACCCGCAGCTACACATCATTGTATTAGCCATCTGTCTCCAGAATGGATACTCCAGCACAAGAAGAGGCTAGAACATACATTTTGTAGTATCACCAACGCCCTTCGTCACACCGCCAACAGTGTCTCCGAGACCTTTTCCAACGCCACTGACCGTGTCGCCTGTGAAGCGTTAAGAGTTGGTCGATGAGACCTGCTAAGACCCTTACAGGATGATGCTCTGGGTTATAGCGTACCAAGTGTATTAGTGACGCCTCCGACGCCTTTGCCGACGGTGTTCGTCACGCCACTTCCGACATTGCCTAGAAAGGGTCAGACTCTGGTTTAAACGACGACAAGAGCGAATTCGTACCGAGACCGGACGTGACAGTGCCAAACACGCCTTTCACTTGTTCAGCTAGGAGTGGAGAGGAGGACTAGACATATCTCACCCTTCTTCTGTTGTTCTTCAGCCATATTGAAAGATAACTCGGATGTTTCGGTATTGATCGTGAAGTTTGTATGATAGTGTAACAGTAGTTCATACAATCAGAATCGTCTAGCATTCACCAGTCGATCAACGGTTCACCTTATATATATCCTCTCCTAGCTCGTATGACGTCCGACTCCACAAAAGCCACATCTCCTCCCTCAATGATGCCCAAACCCTGCACCCATTCCATCATCCCGCTTGATCAGAGCAGGGAAGGCCGCGCTACGATCGCGCCGACTGCCCAATCAGGCTACAGCTGCTATACACTTTTCGCCACCCCTTAGACTTGATCCAACCATAGCATTACTGCAATGCTCCGCTGACAGGCGAGCTCCCATGGTAATTTCCAGTTCTTAGAGAAAGGATACGAGGCCCGAGAGAGATCTGGATCCTTGACCTAACACCAACCTTGAGGATCAGCTCGCTGAATTAGAGGCTTGAGATGTATAGATGACGATTCCATGTTTATTTTCCGGCGTTAGATGCTTAATCAGACGGGACTTGACGTGTGCCAAAATCTCGCCTTCGCGCGTTGAGGCTGTTGCTATGCCATCGGCTAGCGATATTCTATCTAGATTAAGTAAGACGCAAAGCGTTGTGCCATCTATTACAATTACGCAACTGCGAGGGTTGAGGTTTCTGGGTTTAGAAAGCTATGAAGCTGCCTGGTTTGAATCAGCGTGGGGTTGAGACATGTGCTTTTCTGATCATCACATCCGCGCAACTAGTAGGCCATAGTGTTTGAACTTTCTATTGTCTCTCGCATTAAAAAGGATTATACACAGGGTCCCGTAGGTCAAGTCTATCATCACATCCACCCACCCGGAAGAAAATTGAAAGACGCACGAACAGCAGAGGAAGCGGCACCACTCCTCCCCTCCCCACTAGTCTCAAAAGAAGCCAAGAAACCCGAAACAGAAATTGGGCAGGTGGAAGGAAAAGGCCAGAAATGAAGACCCCCGAAATTGTAGGTAAGACAAGGAAGTCAAGCACACACGGGACTCAAACTCGGAAAAGGTAGAGGTTTTAAACCACATAGGTGCCTTCAATGCCACCTGGCATGCCTCGAAACAGACTTGCGTCGGTAGTGACACGAGTACACAAGCGTGAACGGTCCCACGACGAGCAGGGAAATACCAAGAAGACTTGGCCGCAGAGGAAAAGAGAAGTATGAGCAAAGCAAAGCACAACACCCATCCCCAACGCCAAAGGAAGCCCCCTCCCTCGACCGATGTGTATAAAATCCATGCAAGAAAAGAAAAACAAGGGGAGGAATAGCCAGCATCGCTTCCCGACCCCACTCTTTTTGGCCATCGCCCCAGCCACGACTGAAACTTTTGCGCTTCTTGTAATGACACGATTGAATGAAAGTGAACCCCGCAAAATGCAGTACAGTGCATGCAGAATATGCCCCGGTCTATGCAACAGAGAGATTAGATTACCGCGAGTGGTTTCTTTGAAATCCACACGCGCGCATGTACCATCAAACCAACTATGAAAGGGTACCTAATCGCTACTCGGAAGGCTTGGCGTCGTCCTCCTTCTTGTCCTCTGCCCGTGGTTGGGATTTGGACACGGGCGGGGACGAGGCTGTCGAAGGGGGAGAAGCAACTTCGCCAGCGCCTTCACCGGATGCATCTAGAGCTGCAAGTGCACTATAATGGAGTTAGAGACGATAAGAATGCAATCCCCAATGGAGAGTATTTACCTGAATGAGTTCACATGGGTTGTCGACTCCTTTTCCTTCTGAACGGGTGGAGTACCCGTTCGAGAGGACGCGCCAGAGTCATCTGTCCGATTCATCAGGCTTGGGCCAAGACCTTTGCGACCACTGCTGCTGCGGCTGCCGAACAGCGATGAAGGACCGAGCTGAGCAGGGCTGTTGCTGAGGTTCCGACCGGAGGCGTTCTTGGTCAGTTTGCGCAGGTCGTCCATACCAAGCTGGTTGCGGTTGTAATCTGGTGGAGGCATCATGCCACCTCCAGAGAAAGATCGGGCGTCACCGCGACCCATGGGTTGTCGGTTTCCTCCGCCACCGCGGTTTGATCGAGACCTCTCCATTTCCGTCGCCTGTTGTGCAGCAAGGGCTTCTTGGTGAATCTCTTGAATAGTTTTGGGTCCCTTCGCGTCATCCTTGGATCGCCAGCCCTTCTTCCGTAGGTCGACAGTGTCCAAAAGCATGAAGTGCAAACGGCTCGGGAGGCCCTCGGTGCTCATGATCTTTTGGATGCGCTCGAAGTACAATTGGATCATCTTGGGACCAGCTTCCGTGTTCTCCATGGTGAAACCAACAGTTCTGAGAAGCTTGACCAAGCTCTCAATCGCAGACTCATCAGGCGTGCCTTCGAAGTCGAGAAGCTTCAACACACACTCGTGCATGATACGAAGGGTCAACATGCCCAGCTTGTACAGCTCACCGATGAACTGAATCAGACCGAGGCCCTTTCGCTTGGCACCAGCTGCGATGTAGTACTCATCCGACAACAAAACGGCCTCCTGGCTCTCGCCCTCGGGTTTCTGGGGCAGATTGACTTCCCAACCGCGTTCAAACTCCTCTTGGCAGCGGTTGAGTAGGTACTTCCGGAAGAGCGCGCCACCAACCACGGGATTTCCTGCCTTGTCGCGAACATTTTCGTCCTTGATATCTGTGCTCATGGTCTCTAGCATACGCTTACAGAACTTAGCATACATCGATGCCCAATGAGCCTCGTCGCAAGCTTTCTCGAAGGTGAGCTGAATGACCTGTCGAAGGGTTCGCCCGTCGGCTTCTTCCTTTGATTGAGCAGCAATTTCTAGAATCTGATCGGCGATGCGATCGAACTTTTCCGGCGTCATCTTGTTCAGAGCAGCCTTGACCTTCCGCTGGACCATATCTGGAGCCAGGTGGCCTGCGCTCATTATTTGAGTTGGTGGGGGAGCGCCAATGCTCGTTGGTTTCCAGCCAGTCTGCGACTTCTCGAGCGGCTTCAAATCTAATCCAGCGGTCAATGGCATCTGTTTCGCCTGTATCTCTTCATCCCGCCTGTTGCCAGTGCCACGCTTGCTGCCCCTACCTCTGGAGCTAGCATTTCGAGGAGAGTTGGGTCCGTTTTGCGACATGTTCTGGAAGGAGCTAGTGCGAGCCATCTGTGGGGGTCCACCAATTGGGAATCCTCCAGGACGATTGGCAAACTGTGCGAGAGGGTTGCTCATAGTCTGAGCACGAGGTGGCTGTCCGCCTTGCGTTGCTGCCTGGAATCGCTCTTCCGAGGTCGTTCCTGGTCTGAGAGTCCGGCCACCCACCGAGGAGAACATGCCCATAGTGCCACCAGAGAGACCTGTGGGCAGGCTAGGCCGGGAGCTCCCGCGGCCGCCCATGCCGCCCATCGGTGTTCGAGCTGATTGAGGACGAGCCGAGTCCGACGAATCGCCAACAGTTTCCTTGAGCTTCAATTCCCAGTCCGTGGAAGGTTTCTCCCTGAAAACTTCCTGGAATTGCAGCAAGAAGTCCTTGTCGTACTGACGGCCCTTGCTCTTGCCACCTTGGTTCAAGGCTGGATTTGGCGACTTGATTCCCTCTGGGTAGTTAAGAGCCTCATTTCGAACCTGTAAGAACCTCGCAGACTTGAGTGCCTGCATGCCGGCAGTGGGCTGTGGGGGCTCGACGGTCTTGTTGGTTTCGATTTTGAGAGGTTGAGGGACAGGCTTCGGCTTGCCCGAGTTGGGCGCGGATTTTGGCTGCGCAGGTGGAGGCATTACTGGCTCAGAGGCAGCAGTAGCAGGGCTTTGCGTAGCTTGAGGGTGTGGCGTTTTCTTCAAAGAAGCAAACAACTGCTCCCTCTCGGCTTTCTGTTCTGGTGTCTCTTCGACAGCAGTTTGTCGGGCTTTTTCGCGAGCCTCTTCGAGAGCCTCAGCTTCGCGCTCGGCCTTCCGCATCTCTTCTTCGGCATTGGCGGCCTTTTCAGCTTCCTTGCGAGCCTGTTCCTCTTTCTCCTTCTTTCTCTTTTCTTGGAAAGCCCGCTCGCGCTCCTCTTCCTGGCGTTCAAGCTCCTCCATTTCAGCGATTTCACGCTCCAAGCGCTCGTCCTCCTCGTTCTTGAGCCTCTCTGCCTCATCTGCCTCCTTCTTAGCTTTCTCAGCAGCTTCTGCTTCTGCCTTAGCCTTCTCTTCCTCTTCCTTCTCTTGGGCTGCCTTTGCCTCGGCTTCCTCTTTCTCCTTGGCAGACTTCGCATCAGCTTCGGCCCTGTCCTTGGTATCCTGGTCTTCCTTGGCCTTGGCATCAGCTTCTTTCTTCGCCTTTTCTTCGTTATCTTTGTGAATTTGCTGTTGAAATTGCTTTACAAAATCAGCCTTCTTCTCCTCTGCAGACTTGTTGGCAACGCTTTCCGTTCTGCTGTGAGAAGACTCATTTGCGCTTGGTGCTCGAGGCGGGGGAGTAGGCGTAGAGGCAATAGCAGGAGACCGAGGTGCTGTGGGCGGCGCAGGTGAAGCAGCCTTCTGTTTAGCAAAGTCCAGAACTTCACCGTCGGCATTCTTGATGACAATGGCTTTACTTTTTGGCTTGGGGATAGTGAAATTAGAAGACGGAGCCGGGCTAGCTGTGCCAACACTAGGAGTGTGAGTATGAGAGACGTGGTTGGCATTCGACATCGACGGCGTTTGTGGCGCAGCGATAGTCGAGGCGGGTCGCTCAGATACTTGTGATGAGGTGCGGGACATGCCTTGGGCGTGTGGGGGGTTACCGTACGCTCCTGGCACAAATCCCTGAGCTACCTGCGGATAACCAGGTCGCGGGCTTGGCGGAGCAGCATTAGAGTATGGGATCTGCTGATGCATTTGGTACTGCTGTTGATAGTAAGGGTAGTTGGGATCTAGACCAGGTTGCTGCATGCCGTACATTCCCTGATAGGCAAAAGCTGTTAGATATTGGTCATAGCCGCCACTTGCCTTGGAGAGTTCAGGAAATTGAGGAGGTTGAGAAAGAGAGCTTTCAGGAGTAGGACGAAATGGTGGTTTTGTCGGAGTTGAAGAAAGCGAAAAGAGGTGAGAATTGTCGGCGCCAATGAGATTGCTGCTGGGAGGTCCAGCTGGCTGATGAGGGGAATGAGAGTGGGAACCAACTGGCTGGTGAGCGAAATGCTGAGGATGGCCGTAGTTCGGGTACTGCATTTGCTGAGGGTTTGCGATGTGAGCCTGTGAATGCATCGCTGCAGGGGTGATGGCAGGGCTTCTAGTCTGGCGATACGGAGAGTTGGGGTGATTTCCCATCGGTCCTGGCCCTTGAAATTGAGGCGGCATATTGGGTGCTCCTCGTTGTTGATTAGGAAGAGGTCGGTATTGTGGCCCTGGCGAGGAGTGTGCGATGGGAGCGTAGCCAGTGTTGTATCCTCGGCCGCGCCCGCCGTTCGGTGGGTATCCTCGATTCATATTGTTCATGTTCGAGTTGCTCATATCGCTATGGGCAGATTGTGAGGACTCGCGTCGAAGGTGCTGGGCTTGTGGCAGGGGGTTTGCATTTGGAGGCATGGACACAGGTCGCATCTGCAGAGCGTCAGTCAGTGAATGTTCATATTCAGTGGCAGAGTAGGTGGGGTCTTACGTTGTTCTCTCCACCTTCATTGCCAACACCACCGAAGACCAGGCCTTGCTGACCAGGCTGGAGACCCGATGGTGGCCGGCCACCGCTCGATGCTGGCGGTATCGGGGAAGGCGAGTGCGCTGGCGATGTGATGCGAGGATCGCTTCGGGGCGTAGCCAGGTTTCCGGCCTGTGAATGGGGAGAACTGTTTGGTATCGCAGGCGATCCGCCAACGGCGATGGAACCGAACGTAATGTTGCTCGGCGCCCTGCTGTTCGGCGCAACTGGGCCGCCGTTTGGAGTGTAGCCAGTAGTTCCCGCAGCGCTGATGGTGACGGAGGGCTTGCGGGCGTGGTCTCCCGACGCGGGAGCGCCGTTCACGATGGCGCTGCTATTGACAATGGTAGGGGGGCCGACGGCGGGAACAGCGGGCGTGATGGGGCCCTTGCCGTTCACAGGCGAGATAGAGCTGCTTTTGCCATGCTGTGGTGCTGGACCTCCCACTGCCACGGGTGGCGCTGTGCTGGACGCAATCGCGGGCGACGAGGCGGTAGGCTTCTTGGTCGCGTTGGCGTACGAGCGGGCAGTGGGCTGAGCCGAACCAGCGGCCACGGTGGGCGTCGATGCTGTGGCGGGCGAAGACGCGGCGTTTGCAGACTGGGCGGCGATTGCGGTGGGATTAGGCGCGGTCGAGATAGAAGTACTCATTAGAACCTTGATGGGGTTTTTGTCGCGGAGTCCTTGTTGCGCGGTCGGCGGAGAAGAGAGCGTCGTCGAATCACGGATTCGCGAGGCAGGCGGTATTAAGTAGGTGTCGCTGAAGAGCGGAGAGCGGCCAAGGAACGTGAGGAGCCTGAAGAGCCGGGCAAGTGAACAGAAAAAACTGTCCTGGCGGAAGCAGGCGGTCGGAGCGACTCGTCGACAGGTGTCGTGAGTGCTAGAGTGCCGCTGAGCGGGGATCTCGACAGACGGATCTGTGAAATCGACAACGGGCTCTGGAGATGGCCAGAGAGGTACCGTTGGAGGGGGTGATGGGGGTGTTCTTGTCGGGAGACGAAGAAGAGGTTGGGTGGAGAGAGGAGGTCGCTGGCGAAAACCTTTTGGAAGTTATTTCACGGTCTCTCGGCTAGCGGCCAGCGCCCCTGTCAGGCATTATTCACTGCGCGCAACGGACCACCAGACAACAGAGGCTGCAACGCTGGCGACTGATTACTTATTGCTGCACTGCTGTAGAGCAGCTGTAGAGCAGTAAATGTCTATATTTCAGGCTCAAGGCAAGGGCGCTGGCGCTGTTTCGGTGGGCGAGGGTGGCGTCTTCCTCCAGCGACCATAGAACAAGCCAGCCAGTAAGTCTGCCTCACTTCAAGGATCCCATCGCGTTGAAAATACATTTGCGGAACCACGACAGCCAGGCCGGGACTCAGCGCGGCGATGGGACGATGGCAGCATGCTCATCAACCACATGGTGGGAGACGTTAGGTAGACGTCGTATTCCATCGCGCTTCACATCAGCCTATTCTCCAGCGAACGCCCCGTGCACGAGCTCCTGGAACAAAAGAAAGCAAACGGCCCAACCAGGAAAAAGCAGCAGATGCAAACCGGGCCCGCGCTTTGACAGCTGCCCAGCGAGGACAACAGACAGCCAGGGCCCGAACAATACCACGGCCTCAAAGAAGCAGCACTGCGCTGGCGCCGAGAGCTGGTGGCTCAACGTCGCGACATGAACTCTCCCAGGCTCGCCCGCCACTGCACAATGATCTCAGCGTTGCTGGTCCTTCAGCTTATCTCCGTCTCCGCGGTCAGCCCAGTGCACCCATGCTCCCAGTGGCCAGCAGCCCCTTTGGGAGCCTCGACTGATCCTCCAACGACCTTCCCTCGCTGCTGCTGCGAGGCGACTGCAGGCATGACGCTGCTCTGGAGAGGCTGAGCTCAGCGACGACGGTGTCCGCCAATGAGTATGGCGCGACAAGCCGGAGCCAGTGGCCCGATTTCACGACAGCTGCAGCGACGCAATGACTCACCAGCGGCGAGCCACAGACGATCACGGTGGTGCCAAAGACGGTGGCAGATTCGGAGGGATGAAGAGGGCAACGGAGGTGGCAAAGGAAGCCATCGTGGTTGAGAACAACGCTAAGAGATGGGCTTTTTGAAGTAAGTTGGGAGGACACAAGATCGCCGCTTGCCTCCTCTATGTAGAGGGGTAGATGTCCGTTTATACAGTATGTAGGCCTGATCCTCGGGTCAGTGCCGTATGCGGAATACGGGCATGGCTTGGGTAAGAGTCGGAAGTTGCTGAGAACCGACCACTCTGGCATAAATAGGTGGCGGTCAACCAGTAGCATGCAACACTGGCGCTGCGGTCTATTCAACGACTTGAAAGTCTCCCGATGAATTTGTTCATGGTCGCGTTCTGCTACATAATTGCAGGTGACAATTTGTGTACCTGTGTCAGCCAAGCATGGCTTGCCAACTTTTTGATCATTTGAGTTGGACGAAAAGCAGCCGGCTTGAGCAACTGTAGTCCACTTAGCCACTTCAGACGGCGTTCTTCTGCAAAGTTGTCAGTAAGTAGATTTATGTCCACCGAGAGCCGTCAAGAACAAAGTGCCGAGAGTGGTCCATTCAGCCTTCCTACCTACGTCTCTAGCCAAGGCGGGCATGCGCGAAGCTGTAGTTCCTATAATGGCATCACGTGATCAATATTCCCTGGGATTACAATCTCCTATTCCACCTGTCGAAACTCCACTTGGCAGAAACTATCGTTCGAGCTGGTGCCTGACCGACTTGTCCACATCCCACCTCAACTCCAAACACCAGCCGCGTTTCCGGGTCCTCGCCAGTCTCACGGGAGACGTCGTTTCGGAGCATGCGATCCGTCTGCTGATCGGCCCTGCAACGCGCCGCCAACGGCTTTTTTCTAGAAGCCCCACCGTCTCGGGGCCCCTGCAAGCCTGGCAGTTTCACCAACCACAAGGAAACTCGCAATTTACGCAAGGCCAGCTCCACGACTCGCGGGACAATCCACATGTCGCCTGGCTCAGTCTCCGCATCCCAGACTGCCAATTCCCTGCAGAAAGCGCATAGTCCACCTCGCCCCTGCCTATAGGACCCAGAGCTGCGCACCTTATGACCATCAGACTCCCCGCTCTACAGACTGCTGTCCCTGCCATTTGCGCAGTACCTGATGCGATCCTTGTTCACTATGCTTATATGTGAGAGAGTGCCGAATAGCGGAAATTTTGATCAAAGCCCCACCAGGGGACATGCTAAGATAGCAAGTGCTAGGATCAATGGTCGTGCAATTCTTGATCTCCACGTTCAGTCGAAGAAGGAAATCAACAGCTATGCTAAAGTAGATACAAGAAGGGTATTCGAAAGCCTTCCAAGAAGAAGGGATGCAAAGCCAGCGAATATGATTCCCGCGCCACGGGTCAGCCGAGTTCATCAACAGGTGCTGTGCTCAAGAGCATAAATAAATCCGCAGAATGGTCGGCCACGAGAGCAAGAAGAGCGTTGAAACAGCCGCCCATGATAGAAAGCAATGCGCACCAGTATACCCCAACGTAGCATTCACAGCCGTAAATTCATCCTCCCCATCGCTCCTACCGTAATATAACCATAGCATGATTCGTGATATGTATTTTGCCTTTCATCCCGCCCTAATACCTTTACTACCTTGTGGAAGTTGGTATATATCATTTCTCCGATGCGTCCGTCAAGAATGTTCTAGAGTACTAGGACGAAATTCAGCGTAAACTCCGTTGCTGCTGCATGAGGTAGCTCCGTAAAATACCAGTATTCGTTCCGAAGCAAGGTTGGAAGTATGCTAATGCCCGTGCTGTGTAGTGATAGGTGGCGCCGTCTGAGGTGGCCTGCCGGCCTCATAGGTCGTTCAAAAGGGTTGCTGTAGCCTTGATGCCGATTGGCCAAAAGGTATGAGAGACTTCAACAGTTGCAGACGAGTATACGCAGACATTTCCTAGTACTGTACTTGTTCTCTAGCCGGTCAGAACGATTGCTGGAGTTGAGTCGAGCTGTCGTTCGACTCTTGGTTTTCCTGGTTTGACCCTTCAAGGATTTCCCCCAGTACAGCCCCGACTTGTGGATACGAATCGCCGTGGCCAACATCCTGGCGCAGGTAAGAGTTCTGGAAGGAGGTAATATGGTGTGGCGCGCTCATGTGAGGCATCTGGAAGCTTTGTGGTGTGATGAGTGGTGAGCTCGTATAATTGGGAAACGTCGCCGTTTGTGGCGTTGTTGCACTGCGGCTTGGTGTGTAATGTGTGCTGAGCTCTATTCGCCTGGGCACGCTGCCGGACAGGGAACGAACGCGTGTTGTGGCTCCTGCTTGAAAGCCCGGGATTTGAGAGTCTTCGAATCGTTAGCAAGTGCACAAAATCAAGTCACAATCCTTCACTTACAGGAGTAACCAAGTCCGTACGGCATCATCGAACTCGAGAAAGGCTTTTGAGATTGTTCACCGCCCATGTGCGAATTTTCCATCTGCTGGTGGGAGTGATCATTGGGTGCGTTGAGCCCCCCATCATTTCCAGCATTACTGTACGTCATACTCGCCCTCAGTGGAGAGGAGAGAGACTCAGCCCGCGTTCTTGAAACACGATCGGCGTGAAGTTGAAGACGAGGGATGTTGGGGTGTGCTGCGTAGGCTGGCGATGTACTCATCGACATGGTTCCAATGAAGGGATTCGATCTCCTAGGGCTTCCGTCAAATTGCGCTGATGCGTAACCAAAAGAGTTTTCATGGCCAGTAGAAACAGGGGATATGTTTTCAGTCGCAGACTGTGGTGGAGTAAAAGCGAATCCCCCAAAGGCAGGGCTAATACCGGTAGGAGATATGTGGCTTCCGTCCGGCATTCGTCGTAAAGTATCGATGCTGAGCGACCGCATCATGTTCCCTTCAGGAAACGATGGTGTATATGACCCAGGGGATGCCAATGGTGTTCCCATTCCATGAGTTGTTCCGAACGGTGAGTGCAGTGCCTGGGCCATGTCAAAATCATCTGGCAAGGCTCTGGATCTCATCATCCTTTCACGATCATCAGTCGTTAACCGTTTTAACTTCGCCCTCCTGATTTTCATATTAGACCTGGTGCAATCTAATACACTATGCATACGAGATAGGTGGACTACTCACCGATTCTGGAACCAAACTTGGACTTGTCGAGGACTCAGCCCCGGTATTTCTCGGGCAAGCCGTTCACGGTGGGCCGCGTCCGGGTGCGCCTGGCGTGTGAACTCGCTCATCAAAAAGCGCGTTTGGTTGTGCGTGAGTCTTGTGGTGTGTTAGTTGAAGTTCTACCTGGTGATTGATTGAGCACGAACCTAAATCTCTTCATCTTGCGCTTTTGTGCGCGGAGTTCTGCAGCGGACATTGCGGGTTTTTGCTCGTCGTCCCCGTCTCCAGACATGATGTCGCCATCCTGGAAGTCGTCCTGCTCGTCCCCATGCTCATCACTCTTCTCTCCACTAAGCGACGGAGGAGTCAATCTGGAGACAGGACTAGCAGGCGCAGACCCACCAAAAGTCATAGTAGGCAGCTCACCAGACTCAAGGTCCTCAAGATTACTGATGGTGATGCGTTCTCTTTGCGACGATGGTGAACTGGTGTGTTCATCCATCGAAGAGTTCAGACGATGCAAAGGCTGCCCCGATGGCTTCAAGGAGTATGGAAAGCTCTTGTGTGCTCGCAACATTGGACGCCTGTGCATTTCCATGGGATGGCCAGAAATTTCAGCGTGCAGCATAGCCATGTCACTTTCAGAGTTTACTGATCCCTGGTCCAGGGACTTGAGCTCTTGGATTTGCCACTCGTTCTCTGCAGAAGTCGCGTTGAACGCTGACATGCGCGGCGAGCTAGGCGGAGACAGTGGTATGAAGAGGTTTCCGTCCACCATTTGCGTCTTAGTCGATGGTTACTAGATGCTTGGTCGGTTTTAATATTGTGGCTGAACCACCTAAGCATTCAAAGTCAGCATGGCTAACGCCCCACAGAACGTCAACGCCTACCTGTCGATGAAACACAACCTCACTCTTGCCGTTTCCGACTAGAATATGGAGACGTTCTCCAGCTCCGTCGAACTGTGGATAGCTGTGACGCTCCCGACCACAGGCGAAGCGGATCGAATGCTCCTCTGCGACCGTGGATCGGCTTAACAACACGCACACAGGTAAGAGACACCGGAAAGGAATTAAAGCCGTCCAAATAACCTGCGTGAAGACAAACACACGTCCTCCGGGCTAGTGCCGGGGGCGCCACGGGTGGGGCGAGTTGAGGCGGAGGTTATGTGATGCTTTAAGACGGCGCCAGAACCGAAAGTTCTGAGATTGTGTAGTTTGCGAGTCCGTTGCAGAGAACAAATGGGGCGCTTCCGTCTCGAAATGGTTTTAGAATAGTAATGCGCAGGACAACGGCTAAATAGGGTCCGTCGCACGTCAAGGCAGGTTGGGGCGCAGAGTTGCCGTGTAACGATACTGCAAATAGAAAGGCCGCGAAGACAGCAATGCGGCTTCCAAATAAAGACGGGCGGCGACAGTTGACCACTAGAAAAAAGCAGAACGACAGCGCTGTGGCATCGAATATGAGTAAATGCGCTGCTCGGGTTGACGACGTCGCAGTCCTTTGGAATGGAGGTCTGCAACAGCACGCTGGCTATATCAGCGATAACAGACAAGGGCGCAAAGGGACAGCTCAATCATACTGAAGTAGAGTTGGCGGCACTATAAGGCTGGCGATCCGGATAAAACGAGATGGGAGGTGCCTCTGCGAACGGGGTCAGACCACCGCGACGACTCGCTCCATGTTATGGAGGTAATGGCCTTGGGGCTCTGGGTACCGTTTGTTACACCACGAGAGGCGTGACTCTGTTCGGGGGGTTAGCACCGCAGAAGAGCCCGCTGCGGACACAGGGGTGCGGTACCTCGGGACGCGACCCTAGAGAGACGGAGCGTCAACGGAGCGGGCTGGCGACTGGCCGCGGGGGGTGTGTGAGAGGCCCAAGTGTGCCGTTCTCGAAAGAGGATGCGAGCAAGCTCCAGGCCAGGGCGCCCGCCATACCAGGGCCGCCACAGCACAGGGAACGTGAACAAGAGTCGACGGGCTGCTCGAGACGCCGCGCCCATTGGCAGCGCCGTCGCCAGGATTCAGCATGCAGCAGTAGCAGCGCTCGGCACCGTTTGTGCGGGGTCTAAAGGGCAGGTGGGTGCAGTCCACGGCAGAGCACCAGCATCGGCGGCCTCCACGCATCCACCACGCACCCACGTCCACACCTCGACGGCGGCTGGAGCTGGCAGGCGGCATGCCCCCGGCGCGGGCGGTGCGGAGGGTCCTGGGCAGCTGGGCGTCTGGCACCCTGCGTACATCCGGCTGCAGTGGCATTCCTCCACGATCCGGGCGTGCTGGGCGAGGCTATTCGCGCGGGCTCGTGGTTGGGGGCCGTGGGAGATTGCGTCAGGAACACACAGCTTAGCCTTAGGGGGGAGAGAGCCGCCCTCAGCGCGCTGGGAGCCGCCTGGGATGCGATGCATGAAGTCGCCAGCGCCCGTCCACTTCCACAGTGCTGCCGGCGAGCAGAAGGCGGTTGGCGCGACGCCCCAGCCGATGCACGCCATGCACGATCGGTCAAGCCCGTGGCTAGCGGCGCGGGCTGCTGGCAAGCTGCCAATGGTGTGCTGGCGTGGACGATGTGCGATGTGCGATCCAACGGTGAAGTGCTCGGCCCGCTCCGGGCGAAGCGCTGCTTCTGGAAGACGTGTGCTGCACCGCCGACCACTGACAGCCGTAACGTTATACTACAACGTGACGGCGGCCTGGGACACGTCGCCGTGGGTGGGACGTCGTGGGACGGGGGCCTGCCTGCGAGGTCGTGGCAGCGCACAAAAGACGTGAGAGGCCGCGAGACGGCGACAGTTCGCAGCAGCCCACGCTGGCCAGCGGCAAGAGCTGCCTCGCGCTCGCGCTGGACGGACGCAGGGGCGATCAGCTCTCGCCATGATCGCTGTGGGCCCCTGGCGGGCGTTTCGATGGCTTTCCGCAATGATCAGCAGCCGGGAATACTGCGAGTGCGCGCGACTGAGAGAGGAAGCCGACCCGTGCCAGAAAGAGAAGAGAAGCCGTGTCCGACGAGAGCATGATTGATGCAGCCAGGCCTACCTCCCTGGCCGAGACCTACCGACGACGACCTACATAGTACCGAGTCCTGCACTAGCCGACGACTCCTCCACCTGTGCATTCCGTCAGTACAGCAGCTGCGCGACCAGCCCGAGGACGGCAGCTGCAACGGCAGGCTGAGTCTCGAGGCCCGGGCGAGGATGCGCAGTGGCTCCAGTTCGGTGAGGCAGACGGAGACGCTCGCGGTTTCGCAAGCAAACACGTTTGTGGGCGTACGCAATGGCTGCACCACCACCGGACAACGCCCACGACGGGGCTTGGCGATGGCCATGGGGTCAGGAACCGCAGCCTTGTAAATGAAGGAGGACTGCAACGGCGTGGACGGGGCGATTCGCTGGGCGCAGCGTTGTCGCAGAGGTTTGATGCTCGCATGGATCGACGCTTGAGGCGGACTGGCGACGCGCTCTGGACGCAGCCCTTTCATTTCGGGACGCTGCAGAATCTGCCCGCAGCGACGGAATCGTGACAGCAGCTCCAAGTTGTCGCTGACAGCCTGTGTTGCCGTCACCGCGACGGCTGCCGTGCGCCGTCAGGCTGCCGGCCCGACTGCGACGGCGACGAGCCCTGCAGCGCGGTCACACAGTGTGGCCGGGAGCTGGCTGAGGCTGGGGTGCAGATTCTTCTCCGGGGCGTCCATGGCGGGTGCTGGGTATCGTGGTGGCGGCTTTTGCATGTGGTGGCACCGTTGTGTGTGGGAATGGAGCTTCCGATGCGGATAGATCATCGCGCCCTAGTTCATCCGCATCGTGCCAACGTTAAAAGGTCTGTACCTAGGTAGGGAGGTCGGTGAGAAGGGCTAGCGAACGCCACAGCCAGCTCCGCTGCTGCACATCATCAGGACAAGCTGCACATCCAACGGCACATCCAACGGCCTCTGGCCCTTTGCATTATGGTCCCGCCTCGACAATATCTGCCTGGCCCTCTTCTCACGCTGCCCCCGTGCCTCTGCCACACCCCACAGCCCGCCCTGTCCCTGCTTTCCGCCGGCGCTCCGCTGCCACTTGACGCCCTGGACGGCCCGTTCATCCACGCTATGCCTTGAGGTCGTCCGGCTCTGTATCCCTGCTTTCCGGTGCATACTCTTCTGCTGTCTGCGCGGCCGCATCCGGCTGAAAAAGCCTCTCCAGCGAGCTGCCCTCGAACTGGTCGAACCGGCTCAGCTTGTCCTTGGACGCGACGCGGAGCGCTCTCCACGTTTGGCTGGCCTTGGCCTCCCCCAAGTTTTCCTTCTCCTGCTCCGTCACGGCCATTTGAAGGTCCAAGTCAATGCCGGCCACCTCCTTTGCAAACGACTCCGCTCCGGGTACGACGTATCTGATCTCTCGTGAGCACTCGTCGTGACATGCGTTTCGGGCGAGCGGAGAAACTCACCTCTCTGCATCCTTCAGCCGCTCGAGCCCACTGGAGCCATCCGTGTCTGAGAGGAAGGTCAAATCCAACCCCATAGCATTGGCCTTGATCCGCTTGCTAGCGTAAGCTCTCCGCGCCCCGGATTTCGCGTCTTGGAAATCCTTTGTCGAGACCCTGTCGCGGATGATGGGAGGGCAGCTCTCCATCTTCCACCGTACCCAATTCTTATCTCGTGACAGCACCGTGTCAACCATGCGGTAGTAGAACTTGCCATCTGGGGCATCCTGCAGGTAATTTGCGATGGTGTTCTTGATGCCCGATGCCCACTCTGCCTGCCCCCTGCCGTCAGCCCAATGTCATGTAGCACAGTCATAAAGGATTATAGATCTTACATCTTGCTCACTAAGAGTGAAGTTGTACTGCAGTGCTTTTTGTGCATTGATCTGATACGGCTTCTTCTTAGACTTCTCCGTCAACGACAGGATGAAGTCAATCAAAATTAGAGCCTGGACCAGGATATGCCTCTGAAATGCTAGGTCGCTCAACTGTGCGCGCTTAGTATCATGCCAAAGTTGTGTCGCGGGGGGTATCTTACCTCGAGTTTGAAAAGATCACGGCTAGTGAGATACTTGGGGTTGAATGTACTGGCAAACTCATCATATGTCTCCTCTAACTTTCGCTTCAAGCCGCGGCTGCTCTCGGCGTTTGTAGCTTGGATAACTTTGGGAACATTTTTGAATTTGGCTAGAGTAGCTTCCAGCCCCTTTTTGAATTCGGCAAAGTGGTCCTCGCTGAAAAGGTTGATCGGGTTCGAGAAGGCCTGCTGTAACGACCAGAATATTGGGTATAGAGTGTCGATAGTCAGTGTCTTCTGGCCATGTTTCTGACTTGCATCTGGCTCTGCTGTCTTAATAGTCTCTTGCTCGGATTTGCCACTGTCGCCCGCCTTTGCCGTCTCCTCCGTTCGATCCGCGTCAATGTCCGTACTATCTTGAGCATCTTCGGCCGCTTGTCCGTAATCCTCGAATGTGGTCACATTTTCGACATGGAACTCTCCTCGTAAATTCACCGAACTCTTGTCGCCGAGAGGGAAGCTCTGGAAAAGGAAAATGTACACTCTTCCACAGAAGACGGCATCTTCTGCGCGCGAGAGACGCCGGAGAAGCTCGTTGCAAGATCGCAGGATCACTAAATCCTTATTCTTGGAGCCGTTCTGTTTATCCCAATTCAGCAAGTACCCAGGATTTCACAATTAACCAGAATACCTACAACAATGAGAGCCTCTCTTCTCGACTCTAGAAAGTCGAATATGATCCTACAGCCGTCGATGCTCTGACTGTCGAGGAGCTCCTCGACGAGGAGAAACACCAAGCCTGAGTAACATTGATCTGGACAACGTCAGCATTCGGTTCGCAAGGTTGCGAAAGGAACAGAGGAGTAGCAGGGTCGGAAAGGAGACAAATCAAATTCATGGTAGATGCTCTAGATGAGAAGCACTTTTCTTTACTAGCGTACCTTTGTCTCCACAATACTGTAGTATGTCAAGAAGATTCCAGACTTGAACAAAAGATGGATCTTCGATAGAAGTAGTTGCCTTGATACAATCAGCGGAGGGAAGTGCTAGAGGTGGGACGTAATTACCAATATGTTGTAGAATATGTTCCGTGCAGCTCCATCGACTATCGACTTATGGAGTTCCGCGTCTCCAGTGATAGGACCCAGCAGCATTTCATCCTCACTGCTGAGCTCCGATACTTGCAGCGGCGGGTCGATGGCAGTCGACGCTTTGATTTGAGATGCACGCTTAAGAAGGCCCTGTAGCCGACCTGTCATGGCAAGCGCTGGCTCGATATCGCGAACCGCCATGTCGCTGGGTTGACGATATAACGCTGGAATTGCGGAGGTTTTGGTGAAGTCACGGGAAGCTATTGATGCGCATGACCGGGCGCAGCCGCTGGTCGGTTGAAGAGACGGTAGATGGGAAATGAGAACAATGTGGTCGGATTTATGGGTGATCGAAAGATCTCGTCCTCGTCGCAGGAAGAAAGTGGTTATTGTCGTAGTTCGGGTTTGATGGTTTGCTGGAAACTTTCCATGCTGCAAGGGTGACGGAAGTTCCAATTAAGCTTAGACGCTAGTGCGCTTTAGTGTTAGATCGATTCGCGCTTTCCTCCGCACGCGTCCTCCGCGAAAACTAAAGTTTACACGCGATTGATAACGCACGAAGTCCTCACCAAGAAATACCCCTCAACGCATTTAGAGACCAATTGAACGAGCCGCAAAGATGGCTCCACAGAGCCCGCCTGCAGATGATTTCGACGACTTGTTTCTCGATGATCCTGCTATGGAGGCAGCGTTTCGGGAACTCGATGCGAACACTGCAGCCCAAACTTCGCGAAGAGATACAACGAGCAAAAGGAACGCAGTATCTGCGGATGCAGCGATTGATGAAGAGATTAAGATTGTCAAGAAGAGACAGCCAATTCCGAAATTGGACGCTCCACTACTGCTTTCCCCAGCAGGCATACCGAAACTAAGGAGGATATCCAAGGATCGCCTGAAGTTCAAGGGAAAAGGCCATGAGGTGCGTATACGATGCGAGACCAGTCACTATAGCCTTGCTAATCTGGTTTGCAGTATTCAGATGTTGCTCGCCTTCTCAACACGTATCAACTTTGGCTGGACGATCTCTATCCTCGCGCGAAATTCGCCGACGCTCTCACGATGATTGAGAAGCTTGGGCATTCAAAGCAATTGCAAATGATGAGGAAAGTTTGGATAGAGGAGGGGAAGCCTAAGACCGCTGTTGAGTCAGAGGAAGATATGGACGGCGATTTACCAAGGAATCAATCATCGAACCAAGTCCTACCGGAGGCGCACTCATCAGTGGTGGTGCCGAGAGACCAAGATTCAAGAAGTGAGAGGGCCGCAGTCTCATCTGAAAGACAAGCGACCGTAGAAAGGGACGATGTACCCGATCAGGACGAGCTGGACGCTCTGCTCGCGGAGGAGGAAGCCTTGATCATGAAAGCCGAATCCATGATGAAGCCTGCTCCTAGGGTTCCTGCCCGACCCGCAAGACCTGCAGCCCCCCTAGATGACGACCTTGACGCTCTGCTCGCGGAAGAGGACGCCATGATGATAGAAGCTGCCTCGGCAGGGAAGACTGCTTCGGTGATGCCTTCGAGACCTCCAAAGCATTCAGCACCACGGGAAGACGAGTTTGCCGACGAGTTTGCGAATGACTTGGACGCTATGGGGGACATGTGGTAGCCTTTGCGAGGGAGGGCTTGGCAGAACATGGAATTGGCATAGCATGGCACTGGCATACGGAGGGCGGAGTTCTGGGTCCTGTAAACAACAGACGATTATGATTAATGTCCCAAGCAGCGATTATATATATCAGAGTCGTCATTGCAAACTATCTCGCTCTCTTATAAGCCTCTTTTTCCGTTCTTTACCTGTGTTTTGTATGTCTTCTCCCATGAGTTCCCTTTCAAGTGGGTGTTTCCATGTCCCGATAAAGACTAAAGAGCAGACAGAGAAAGACCATGCATGTCCATAAGCCTTGCTGTAGACTACCCCTTGTAACGATGTAAGAGCTGCTGTATTGCTGTATTGCTGTTACAGCTGCGCTTCAGTTGGATGTCCCCACAATATGCCGCACAGCAACACCCACAAGAGAGGCTATAGGTTCCCGTATTCCAACACTCTATAGGGACACCTTTAGTACCGGGCTTTCGCAATGTAGACGCACAATAGACAGAGAGCAACTGTTGTCTCTACAGCATTTCATCTTTGCCGCCTACTTCATAGCCCTCCAAGGTTGATACTCACCAGCTGCTCTTTGCTCTCACTTCCATGCGTTATCGGATAGAGCGTGATCCGGGGCATACCGAGTAGGACACTTAACAATCTTACTTTCAACGGGAACACGTCTAGTTAAACGATTTGATCCAGACGTTGCTTTACTGCAATCTATGGCAGGACAAACATGTTTTGTTTAAAAATCTATTTAATCGGCTAAAGAAGAAGGAGACGTTCAATCTCTCCCTATGAAAACTAAACTACTCATCTACTCCCCAAGCTATATAAATAGGCTTATTTAATAGCTTATAATTCTCTATAACGTAATCCACAAGGTAGCTAACTCTTTGGTGCGATTTGGACATTTTAACAACCTAGTAACCTCAACAAATGCTTAAGATTAAGTGTAATTTCAAGCGTGTATGTCCTATAAAGCCCTATCTAATAGCTAAGAAAAGGTTTAGAGCAACGTGTAGGTGTGATTCTACCTTAATTGTAGAAATCACGTAACGTCTTAGCCCCCTGGTCGAGCCACCCAAAATTACCGCCAAAGCTGCTAGTTTTGCACGCTTATAACTCCACCACCACTTAATATAAAACTATAAAAATTTATATTTAAAATTTAAATACTTTATATTAAGTAGTGGTGGACTTATAAGCGTGCAAAACTAGCAGCTTTGGCGGTAATTTTGGGTGGCTCGCCGGGGGGGCTAAGATATTAATCTTAAGGGCTAAACTCTACTACGACGAAATGGAGCTATTAAGCGACCTAAAAAGTCGACTAATAATGTTGAAGTAGCCCCGCATATTATTATTTTAAGTTATAACTTAGAAACTCTAATAATTGTTAAGATTATAGGGTGTTAAAATGTTTAAATCGCACTAAAAAGTTAGCGCGGCCACTACTTTATAGATTACGTTACTATATATATGCTTCTTAATATAGTCTGCGGGTAAGTAGGCCACGCAGGCGAGTGGGCCACCCTATTATTGGCGCGATTTAGACGTTTTAGCACCTAGCTATCTTAACAACTATAAAATATTTCAAGCTATAATTTGGAATAATAATAATATAAGTAACTATTTTAATATTATATATTTATTGTTTATATTTCTTAATAGCCCTATTTAGCTGTAGTAAAGTTTTCGTTAGTTGTAGCCCCTAAAATCAGGTATTACTTATAATATAATCGAATTATGCCTTTATATTGCTCTAAACTTTCTCTTAGCTATTAGAAAGAGCTAGATAGTATATAGCATCTTAAAGTTATACTTTATATTTTATAGTTATTAAGATAGCTAAGGTGCTAAAACGTCTAAATTGCACTAATAATAGGGTGGCCTACTTGCCTATATAGCCTATATACCCGCAGACTATATTAATATCTAAGCTTATTAAAGATTACTAGGTAGACTATAGGTCCTACTAAAATCTATATTTAATTGCTAGCCCTTTTTATCCTTTTTAGCCCTATTAGTATTAGACTTTTAATAATCCTTTATTACTAAAAAAGAATATTAAAACCGTAATTTAACCCGTATTATTATAAAGGGGTCTCTTTCCGTCTTATTTAAACCGTAAGGTCCGTATAAAAGTAAGAATTATATTTATTACTAGTGCAGCAGCATTATATTATGGCTAGAGGTTGTCTTTAAAGACGTTGTCCTTAACACTGCTAGAATAGCAGAGTTTTTATAAGAGCCTTAGTAAGGCTTTTATATAACTATAATAAAACAGAGGACTGGATTAAAAACTACCCGATATTCTATTATCTGGGCAGGCCATTCTAACCTAGGGCTATACTGGTGCCTGTATTTACTAGTAGAAGCAATAGAACCGATCTATTAGAATAATAGAACACCTCTATACTAATATAGTTGCACTTACACCTCCACCCGGATAGATAGATAGATAAACGCCACCGCAGATAAATAAGTAAATAACTAGGACCTAGGAGCTACTAGGCGTAAGAGTAAGGACAGTAATAATTTAGTTAGTAGGCAGGAGGGATAATAGCTGCGCGGTATTAAGTTATTAAAGGTAGTAACCTCTATCTATAAAATATAGTTAGCCTGTTATTATAAAAGCATTATAGGCAATATAAAGGGGCTTCTACCTTTTTAGTAGAGGCAGAAGTTATAGGGCGTGGTATAAATAGCAGCAATATTTAGCTCCAGGCCTCTATAAACGCCTAGTGGACTTATAGTAAATAGGAGTAGTAAAATAGGGAGTATACAGGGTATGCGTGCAACCTTCCTATTTTGTTCCTTATGCACAGCTTGTAAAGGTATATAAGGCACGTGGTGAAATAGTAAAGGTTTAAATAAGTGTTGTATTACTAATTAGTATATTAACTGGTTAAGATTATTTAGTTTAAGGAGCAAGGCAGCAGTCTTAATATACCTTAGTCGTTCTTTATTAGAACGTAGTCTTTGTTGTAATAAAGAGTTAACGTTTCTTTATTAAGACAAAGCCTCTTTATATATAATAAGTCCTTTATTAGAATAAAGAGTCCTTTATTAGAACAAGGAGTTCTTTGTTAGAACAAAGGAATAAAGGATCTATAAATAGATTTATATATATATATAGATAATAGAATAAAGAAATATATCGCTTATTCTTGTTTTAATACAGCTATAGAGCTTTAGCTTATAGTACCTTTATATACTGGGAGGGAATAGAGAGTATATATATAGACTTCCTATTTTATATAGCTGTATAAGCTTTAGCCTATACAGCGCCTCTGCAGAATAGGAAGTATATAGCGTATTTCTTGTGGCCTTTCTATTTTGCACGGCTGGCGGCTATTATAAAGGGAGAAGGATTAACACCTTGCTGGTAATACTGTCTGTATAGCCTAAACAGACAGATGCGCGTGTTGGTCTACTATTATATATAAGCAATAACTTATAATATAGGCTTAAGGAGCAAATCGGCGGTGTTAAAGGTATAGAGTCGATGCAGAGAGAGATAGAACAGAGTTGTATAGATAGATAGATAGAATTGTATTGCTTAAGTTCTTCTTTATATCGACGGCGGCGGAGTTGCACATATATACATACGTATAGCATTGTGAAATGTCCCCTAACGCTTCTATAATGTTATCTTACTTTTCCTATTCCAAACGTTTACTATATCACGTTTAAACGTGCATAGTTTTAGTTGTTTTAAGAGCTTTATGCATAGGGATATAACGCTTATGCTATTATAATCCTTACAGGCGGTATACAGGTTGTTGTAGAAAGGGCAGCCTGGGATAGGGCCTGGGCAGGCGGGCACTGTAGCTAGTTTACCTATCTTATATATAGAGTAGATATAAATACACGCTGGTTAAACCAGCCTACTACTCCGGAATTAACTCAACCCGCACCTAGGAGGACAACTATAAACCCGGACAGATTTAGGACAACACATTATAATAGCTTATTCCGTGGTGGACTTAATAGATCTACTACGTGTCCCTAATAGCTATATAACAATAAGAAGAGCGCTTAGCGCTATACACCGCAGAGGACGGGGTTTTTATCTAAACGCTGCATGGCAGCAAACGGTTTCTCCTTGTAAACTAGCCTAAATAGAACAGCTGCATGGACCCTAACGGGAGCTACACCAGCGCAATAAAATTTAATAATAATAATCCCTTATTACCCTAGCTATCTCCTTTTTATATATAAGTCCATTCTTATAAACCCTAAGAACTTACCCTGCTGTACTAATATCTTTTATATTTACTATTCTAGTAGAAACTGTTATAGCTTAGTATTTAAAAAATATCTTATTAGCCGCTTTAGGTTAAATTATAAAGGATAATATTTAACCGCAAATAAAAACTTATTAGAATAGATAGTAATATATATAACTTTAGGGCGTAGTATATAAGTAAACGCGTAATAACTAATTTATTATTATATCTATAAGTACGTATAAGAAAACTCTATATTTAAGCATATAATAGTAGGGTTAAGAAAGAGTATAAATTATATAGGTTCTATATATATATAATAGAATAGTATTACTAAACTTATAATTATTATATTAAAAAAGGCTAGGAATTATAGTAAAGGGTTTAGGAATAATTTATAATAATACTTTTTTTAACTTTTTAACTATAGGCGGCTATAAAGATACTATAGCACTATTAAATATAAACTAAAGCTTTATTTAATAAGCTTGCCTAAGTATAATTAGGCTAAGGTTACTTTAGTAAAGCTGCTAGAGAAGATCGCAGGCTAGATTAATAGTACGTTAGTTAGACATTATAAGGAAAAGCTATAATACTATAAGTTAGCTTAGTAGCTATAGAAATTATTTCTAGTTATTTTAGTAAATACAGGGCTTGTAAGGATTATAATAGCATAAGCGTTATATTCCTATATATAAAGCTCTTAAAATAACTAAAACTATGCACGTTTAAACGTGATATAGTAAACGTTTAGAACAGGAAAAGTGAGATAACGTTACAGAAGTGTTAGAGGACGTTTTACAATGCTATACGTATATATATATGTGCAACTCCGCTGCCGTCGATATAAAGAAAAACTTAAGCAATACAATTCTATCTATCTATCTATACAACTCTGTTCTATCTCTCTCTACATCGACTCTATACCTTTAACAGGGCTAATATAAGGTATACTATACTGTCCCCTATATACTTAATCTTAACCTTATTCTTTTCTTTTTTATAATATCTATATCTATCTATCTATCTTATTTTCTATCTTTCTTCTATCTTTTTCTCTTTATACTAGATCTAACTGTATACTAGCTAAAATTATTTCTCTTTATATTCCTAGTAGTCTTTATATATTTAGCGCCTTATTCTATAAAATAGTCGGTCCTCTATTTATCTTTAGTGTAAAAGTTGTAACGTATTCCACAAGCGAGCCGTCCACCCAAGCGAGCCGTCCACTTCATCACAAAAACGCGACGCGTCAACTTCCAACCACCATGCGTCGACAACACAACGTGCAATCAATACAAAATGAAGGTCGAATATGCATGGCTATCGCAGCAATCAATCAGCAGCAATTTAAAAGCGAACGGCGCGCTATTACGACATATAACGTACCCAGAAGCACACTTCGAGATCAACGCGTTGGAACGACCCCACGACGCGATTCTAAGCCTAATTCGAAGAAGCTTTCCAAGCTGGAGGAATCAGTTGTTGTTCAACATATACTCGACCTGGATTCGCGAGGATTTCCGCCCAACCTGCATGCTGTACGAGAGATGGCCAACAAATTGCTCGCCGAGCGCGCCGCCGGCCACGTTGGCAAGAACTGGCCAGAGAACTTTGTCAAGCGAACACCTAAGCTCAAAACACAATTCAATTGAAAGTACAATCGTTAGAGAGCTTTATGCGAGGATCCAAAGGCAATTGGCGATTGGTTTAAGCTTGTACGCAATACAAAAGCAAAGTATAGCATCCTGGATAAAGATATACACAACTTTAATAAAGCTAGCTTCCAAATAGGCGTTATCTTAACTGGCGTGGTTGTAACAGGCTCTGAGCGGTGCAATTGTCCAAAATTAATACAGCCAGGCGATCGCGAATGGACGACGATAATCCAAGGAGTCAATGCCTGTGGATGGGCTATCCCGCCATTTATTATCTTTTCGGGTAAGTACCACCTCTCTGCATGGTACGAGGGCAATAATATACCACTAGACTGGGTTATAGCAGTAAGCAATAATAGCTGGACGATAAATAAGCTTGGTATTGCCTGGCTGCAGCATTTTAATAAGCATATAAAGGATCGCACTATAGGCACGCATCGGCTGCTAATTATTAATGGCCACAAGAGCCACCGCTCGCTTGAATTTAAAGAGATTTGCAAGGAGAATAATATTATTACTCTCTGCATGCCAGCGCATTTATCGCACCTGCTGCAGCCGCTTAATATTAGCTGCTTTGCGCCGTTAAAAAAGGCATACAGGCGCTAAATTAAGGACTTAATACGCTACTACATTAACCACGTCACAAAGCTAGAGTTCTTGCCAGTATTTAAAGCAGCCTTCTACAACTTAATTATAAAGAGCAATATTTGCGCAGGCTTTCAAGGCGCAGGCCTTGTACCGCTTAATCCAGAGGCAGTGCTCTTAAAGCTTGATATTCGGCTTCGTACGCCGTCGCCTCCTGCCGTGGTGAAGGCTTAATGGGAATTAAAAACACCAAGCAACGCTTATGAGCTAGGCTCTCAATTAGCTTTAATTCATGATCGTATTCAAAGGCATCAAAATAGCTCGCCTACAGCAATTCTTGATGCGCTTAGCAGCCTTTCCAAAGGTGCTGCAACGATGATGCATCAAGCCACGCTACTGCGCGATACAGTTGCCAGCCTTCAAAAGGCAAATGAAGCCGCCACAAAGCGCAAGGCGCGCAAAAAGAAGCGGATCCAGAGAGAAGGAACTCTAACAATGGAAGCAGGCTCTCAAATAGCTGCTCAAAGGCTTGATAAGGACGCCCAAAGCAAAAGGCAGCAAGGCGGGGCAGATTCTGGCGGGAGCGCGCGGCGCTGTGGACGCTGCGGCGAGCTAGGGCATAACATTCGTACGTGCAAAAATGATGCAGAGGTTGCTGCAGATTAGGCTACAAGTTGTATATAGTTGATATCTATTGGCGTTGTGGAGCAATTAACGTTTGAGGCCGGTTTTCATGATGAAGTGGACGGCTCGCTTGGGTGGACGGCTCGCTTGTGGAATACGTTATAGGAAGGATCAATAAATAGAGCGGTAGCAGGATAGAAGTTGAATTAATTGAATTAGATTTTCTTTTATTTTATAGAGGTTGGGCCTCTATATACTTAAATATATAAGTACTAGAAGTTTCTCTATACTTTAAAAGTATAGTTTATAATACTTATACTAGTATATCCTAGATACTTCTATATATTATAAATATAGTTAATTTATAAAAAAATCTTTCTATAAAATTCTATTTAGTTCTGGATAGTTCTAGAAGCTTAGCAATATAGCGCTTATTATATTCTAATATTTAGTACTATTATTTTATAGTTATAGTTAGCTTAGTTAGTTAAACCTAATATTTTACTTTAATATATATAGTATAAGGGTAATAGTATAGTAGTAAAGATTGCACTATTAAAAGTCTAATACGGAGTTATAAATGCTAAAGTTATATATTTGGATTCTATAGCTTTTTCTTTCTTTTTTCCTAAGCTTTTTTATATACTATACTAAGCTTTATATACTAATAAATAGTAAAACTACTAATCTTTAGATAGGTATAACTTAATATATTATATAAAATATTAATAAGGGCACTATATACTAAATAATAAAGTAGGTTATATTAGATTATAGATAAGGTAAAGCTTATATACTAGGGATATTAACTTACTACTATAAATAGCGCTTTCCTCTTAAGAATACTAAAACCTGTAAATATTATTTTCTTTAGCTAAGCTAATCTATCTCTTTTACTAGGGCTAAGACACTGCTTTTTATATATAGTAGATTATAATCCTATTTAGGGGGTAAAGGTTTTTTCTAGTCTATTTTCTTATACTACATCTAATACATGCTATTAATAGTAGCGTTAGTAGATTATATACCTAAATAGAAGAAATGGTTTGCTTTACCCGTTTTAGAGGGAGATTTTCCCTAGTATAGGCTAGTTTCTTTCCTCTAAAAGAATATTGCACTAGATAGGTTTGTAATATAGGCCTACTAAATAAGATAACCTTAATACTGAAATATTGGACGAGCCTAATTATTACCCCCTTTTTTGCTATATATTACCCTCTCTAGATTTAGCCTAGCTCCGGCCTATATTAATATTGTTCTACTAATTATATTTACTTACTTATCTCTTATACAAGGAATTGTATAACTCTTATACGGATGCGTAAAGCGGAAAGAATAAATTATTAGATGCAACAATAGTCTATTTACTCTATCTACTCTAACTAGTCTAGAACCAGGAAAGCACCTACATGGCCACCTCTTAATTGCTAAGTATATACACTATTATACGAAGGTTTTACACCTAAACATCCTCCTACTGCACCGGCGCCTTTACTATAAACAGCCTCCTCAAGAATAGACAGAGGACCATCCTCGAGGGCTAGTTAAATGTCGGGGACTAAGGGAATAGGAGCCCTAGGTCGCTGTTACAGTGCCTGCTTATCCGGCGGAGAGATCCGGTGCTGTATTAGTAAATTAAGACTGCTATTTAACACTACTATCGCCTAAGTAACGACCTAATTAGTGGAACAAAGTTGTTACAAGCCGAAGCTAGGCTAAATGTAGGGGGGTGATATGTAGCAAAACCGGGGGGGTTATACATAGCAAAACGGGGTGTGCTAATTAGGTTCGTCCTAAATATTTACCACCTTCTTATCTTTTCATCGCCTACGTTACGTTAGCAGATACAACCCTTACAATCCAAAGCAATCCACATAGGAGAAGGCCGTAAGGTTAGAGGTAACAAAGGCAACGGGACGATCTCTAGGACATGTTTATGAAAAAGCATACAATGAAAAGCTAATGAGAGCAAGCGTGGGCCGCGAGCCGTAGATGTGGGCGATGTTTCGTCTGGGTCGAATACATACTCGGCTAAGGGCATATGGAATGGAGACAGCTTACAATCAATCTCTTTTCAGGAACATTACAGACCTGAATAGTTGGCAATAGATTTTACGTATGCCAGGCCGGAGGTATCTATTCTAACATCGCAGTGTTTCTTCCGCCGCATGCCCTAGGCCCGAACTTCCATTTCACCAGGCCTCTATCTGTCCATGCCCAAAGCTCGTCTTCGTCTCGGAAAGCGAGCTCGAAAACCACCCCAGCCTCAGGCAATTCGACGGGATGTAGTTCAACCATTTCTTGATCGAGTGGATTGGACTGATAGTATCGATATCCACATCCCTCCAGATATGCGTAGTCCCCTGGTATGGGTCCCTCTGGCAAGGTACCGGGATCCAGGAAAGCTTTTGTGTCAATCGCCCATACGAGGACCTTCTTCCAGGATGTCATAGCGATGCGATGCGACTTGGGAGATATCGCCATTCGAACACCAAGAGAGGACAGGTTGAACAAATCCAGACCGACAAGTCTAGCAACGAAGACGTGGTGCAGATTCGAATAATCTTTCTCCAGATCGAACGTGTCGCAGCTGGAATCTGCACAGTAGTGGATAGCCTTGAGGAGGAAGGCCCCCACGCGTCCTGGCGTAAGCCAACGAGGTGTGGTGCAAGTGTGCTCTTCGCGTCTGAGCATGACTTCGAGAGCCGTATTTAGGCACGTTGGGGCACCGTCGTTGAGCTGTGGATCTGTGACAAGATGATGGTGATGGAAAGCAATGGCCTTTCCCAGAGAAGGCGAGCTAAATGCCTCGACATCATCCGGAAGGTAGTTATTGCGACGGTGGATTTCGGCGCGACTCCGGATGTTACTGACCGTCCACCGTGGGATAGGAAGGCAAGACTGGAAGAGGTGCAGTTTCTTGCCCCTGACCTGCATTGAGGAAATGATCTCGTCTGGGTGGGATTCGAGCAACGTCGAAGTTGTAAGGGGTGGAATAGCTGACTAGTTAGCATGAATGACCCCGAGAGAAAATTGGATGGGTAGGATATGCGGATCTTCCGTGGACTGGTAGACCGGCAACCCTAAGATATGGAGCAGAAAAGGTACCGGGAAGAAATCTCTTACCTTGATCGCAACGTCTATTGTACTTCGTTAATTTATGCTTCGGATGTCTTCCTTCGAACCATCGAGTCAATATGAACGAAGTCCCAGCTTTCGAGACCGCCACAGCCACCACATCGTTAAGCTCTTCGGTTTCCATTTCCATCTCGAACCAATCCATAACTATAGGACCAAACTCGTCGTCTAGCCTGTATGTGACGAGTCGAATCGGGGCTGGAGAAGACGAAAGGTGCCCCTTTGCTTTCCTAGCGGGGTTCGATCTTTTAGAACGGTAAAGAATAGCTATCGTATTAACGAAGTCTCCTTTGGAACACGTCAAGTCAGGTTCGCAGACCGCAAGCTTGACAACTTCACAATCGGACCAAGCAAACGTCGAACCCTGACCCAGTGACAAGCCATATGGATCAATGACATGAGAGAGCATTGGGATGGCTTCAATAATCTTGTAGATTCGCACTACACCAGTATCTGCACAGACGTTTGCAAGCATGAGGTCATGTCCGCCTTCTCCAGAATAGGAAACGAGGGTACTATTCTTCCAGTCGGTCTTCACTGTAGGGAGGTAGGAGTGGACATCAGACAGGAACGCGGCGCCACTGTGTAAATGTCGAGTTGCCCTCCTGGAGAAAAGTGTGACTAGGCTTGCTGCATCTTGATGGCTCCCGGAAACGGAATCTTGTAGACCGGGTATGCGTCTCAGCTGGTCCTTGAGGAGGGCTTTAGAGTTCAGAGCATGCCCGCGGAAGGTTTTGCAGGTCACGAGGCAAACGTAGAATGATTCGGCATCGAGAGTATGTAGTATTTGGCGAAGCAACTCCGGGGGTAGGTCGAGGAGCATCATGCGCGAACTCGAGTGCAAGTGGGGGCTTGCTGGCGGTGATATTCCACTGCCTCTGCGCCCTACTTGTCCGGCATTATTGCTAATACGATCCACTCCTTCTTCAGAAGATCCAGGTGAACGCGAGGACCAAGGAGATCGAGGAGGAGATTCCGAGATGAAATGAGGGTACCGCCGCTCTGACTCGTGAAAGACGTCTGTACATTGCTGTTGAAACCTCTCAAGCGACAGTGATGCGAGCTTTCGTCGAGCCACATTGCGCTTCTGCTGATAGAGGGGATTCGGATGCAAGAATCTCGGTACATTGTGTGCCTTTGAGCTGCCCTTCGTCGACCATTGCTCCCGACGCACTAACTCGTCATATATATCAGTACTCTGGTCTTGAAACTGAGCTTGGGTAAGTTGCGTGAGTTTGTCTTTCGCCCGGTGTGATCGACGCAGCGTGCTCTTCCGTTCTCGAAGGTAGGGGCCCAGGTAGGCTTTTATGAATGCATGATGTTCCAATAGGACGTCTTCTGGCCTGGGCGTCTTACGGTTCATGTTTGCAGCGTCTGTCATGCTTGGGTATATATCAGCTTTGATGTAGGTTCCGTAGGTTCTAGGTATGCTAGCTGGGATCAGTCAGTAGGTCGCAGAGCAGACAGAACGGAGATCTTTCCTCACAGGCAGTTTTGTATCTCGAGATAACGTTCGATAGCCCCGGCAGGGCAAGGCTGTGTGGGGACAGCCGTCTTGCTCGCTGCCGCGAACGTCTACAGCAGCAGCGCCAGAGGGAAACGCAGTGTTCGAGGATGCTGTGGTAAGCAGAGATTGAATGCGGCAATTGATCCTGTGATGGGGTTTGGTATAGAAGCACTTTGAAGTGCCCCAGTTTTTTATGTAGGCGACCAGCCTTGCACACCGGACGATGGAGTGCGGATGCCTGCTCGGCCTAAGAGGAGCTGAGTCCAGCACGCGCCGTGGAGGAGGTTAGCATACAAGGGACATGTGCTATTGGGCGTAGACTCTTAGATCAGGACGATTGTCGACCGTGGTGCCTGCTGGTCAAGCTGAGGTTGTTACTCGACATTCGACGTGCTTCGGCGGGATGTCAACGCACGTGCCGCCATGACGATCTCTGCGGGCAACGATCCAGGGCCAGACGCCAAGACCACGGAACTGGTCCGAGATATCGACATTCTAAGGGCCAGTTCGGCTGCGTAATACGGTAGCGTGCTTCAGAGAGCGTATTGCACGGACTTATCGAGGTGTTAGCGCATCTCGAGCGTATATTGTTATCGTGCATTCAGCGTGAACTCGGCGATTGCTTAGCAATTACTTAGCAAAACCTCAGATGTTAACTATCAAATCTGTTAAAACTTGGAGTGTAGCATCTTGTAGCCTTTTATAATTATCTGCCTCCTTAGAAGTTCTATCTAGGAGATAGAAGGGGGAGCTACGGTCCTATATACGCTGCGATTTTGAGATTCCACCAATCTAGCGAATGAGCATCTCATAAGCATAAATGAGAAATTGTATGTGAGCGTGTCTACGCTTGGCACTGCCGTATCTTGGGGCTGACACGCTGCTAAAGCACGCTACCGTATTACGCAGTCGAACTGGCTCTAGCTAATATTTCAGATTATAGAAGACGAAGTCAAAGTTGACCGCCCGTTGACCTCGACATTCGCATCGATAGCACCTGAGCATTCGTACGTATCTAGCGCCAATTCCAGGCTTTCAGAGATACTTGCTTTCTTGACCGCCGCATTTGGACTCTGCTATCTATTTACCGTCTTCGTGCCCACCTCAACAATCGCGCTTACAGTTCCACTCTAGGGACGTTTCAGCGACCGCCATGCTCCACATTTGACGAGACCACGAGCGCTCCAGCTGGCATGGGATGGCGACACTTGCGGCTGCTCGCCAGTTTAGGAGCTCTCATCGCCGTCCGACAGCTCTCGCCCATCGCCCTATGCATGCCGGCTCTAGCGTCGGGAAACAGATGGCGGCAGCGGTCTCCAGATCGATAGTTAAGGCAGAGCTTTACAAATGCATCTGAGACGGCCTTCGAGGCGTCCTTGGGCCCCGCTGCTCAGCGTCGACCTTCACATCGACATTGAAGTTCATCCTGGGGGTAACCTCGGGTCTCCGTGACCATCTCGACCTGTCAGAAGCATCTTGTCTAGAACACTCTCGTTACACCGCAAACATGACCATCGTGGAGGTATACGCGAGGGCTCGTTTTGCGGGGGCTCGTTTCGCGGGGGCTCGTTTCGCGAGATGCTGGGCGGCAGGCGGCCAGCAGTGACAGCTGCAGATGCTCCGAGGGGCCCGCGCTGGTGGCGGCGTTCCAGACTCGTGAGCCAGCTTTGTTCCCAGCTAGCAGGTGCGACAGCAGCCGGCGGCCAGGTACTTGAGGCGGGTGATGCCACGAGGGGCTGGGACAGAAGCTGTGACTGACTCTGGCTGACGACCGAAAGACGGAGGACGAAGAGGACGAAGAGGCTCACCCTTAAATATCTCGCAGACTCGCCGGTCCCTGCTCCCGCTTGCTGCACCCTGCATGACCACCCGTCACGAAAAACTTGCTGCTCGCCCATCGCGAGTGCCATCGGCCCACTATCCCCGTCTACTCGCGGGACGGCCTCCTGATTGAGCGTGCGCTGCTTCAATTGCGACTCTGCCTCCCTCCGCGTGCTGTGCAGACCATCATCCAGACACCTCCAGTGCCCGGCCCAGCGGCGGTTGCGCCGTTCTTTGACCATCGCCCCTGCTTCGCCGCGCGACGTCATCGCAGCTGAGCGTGCCCTCAACCTCATCTCGACTCCACCGCCTCCTAGCCACGCCCTCTTCTTCTCCCTCCTCCCCATCGCTACCTCGCCGCCCTTCACGTCCTCTTTGATGTCCCACTTCGGCCTCACGCATTCCCAGCCACCGCTGGCCTCCCGGCACGCTGCCAACACTTCGCCGACGTCTGCCTGAGGATAATGTCGGCCACGCCCACCTTCTCCCCCCGCCTGCGCGATGCCGCCCCCCAGCTGCGCTCCAGCAGACCTACCGCTGCCCGCACCAACACGCCCGCGTCTGTAGGCCAAGCTTTGCCGCCGATGCGGCCTCACGATAGTCGAACACCGGCCCACATCCCCCCGACGCCCCAGACACCAAGCCCCAATTACTTCGGCTTGACGGTAGACCCGGCCGCGGACTGCTTCTCCTCGAGCGCTGCGCAGCACGTTCGAGGCAACTGGAGCCCTCCTACGTCCAAAGTGCGGTCCACCGTCGCCGCCTCGCCCCGCGTCATCCCCGTTGATCAGAACCCCGAGTTCGAGCAATTCCGCCGGCAGTCTGAGCACAGCGCGCAATTCAACTTGGGTCGGCTCTCCGATTTTGGCTTAGGCCAGCCACCGACCTCGATACCTTCCAACCGCCCGGCCTTTATTGCTGCGGATCCCGCCCCGTCCCCTAAATCCGCTCTCCCGACATCGCCAAAAGCGTCGTCAAATACTGAAAGTGGGAAGGCAGTAGAATACCTCGCGAAGCCCCGATCGCCCAAGCGTCTGCTCTCCTCCGACTCATCGCTCTTCCCAGACCGTCCTCGACGCAACTCCCCCGCTAGTTTTACCGAAGAATCGCTACGATCCGCAAAGGAAGTTGCTTTCTTAGACTCCGGCCACCAAAGGCCATCCCTGCCCGCGTCGAAATCTCACCTTGCCTTTTCTCTCTCGAACCACCGGGCTGAGACCCTGCCAGCTCATCCTGAGTCTGACGGCAAGGTCGAGGGTCCAGTCTTCGTGACTCCACAGCATGTAGTGAACCTTCTGGACTCGGCAGAAGATGAGATATTACTGCTAGATTTGCGTGTTTCTACGCAGTATGCACGTTCTCGGATTGTAGGAGCCTTGAGTCTCTGCGTCCCGACCACTCTCCTCAAACGAGTTTCATTTAACGTCCAGAAACTTGCCGAGACTTTTAAAGATTACGACCACAGAGAAAAATTTGAGAGGTGGAGGAGCAGCAAATACATTATAGTGTACGACTCCGACTCCTCACAGTTGAAAGATGCCGCGGCTTGTGTCAATATTCTGAAGAAATTCACCAACGAGGACTGGAAGGGCAGCTCTTATATCATACGAGGCGGCTTCTCGGACTTTTTCAACAAGTTCCCATCACTAGTAGCAAGCAGTTCCTCCAGTGGCTCGACATCTTCGTCCTCGCCTCTTAGTATAGATTCCAGTGGCCCCGCAGTTGCACCTGTCGTCGGGGGCTGTCCGTTGCCCGCTACCCAGAACGCCGCGAACCCCTTCTTTGGAAACATTAGGCAGAACATGGATCTCATTGGCGGAGTCGGCCAGATGCCGATCAAACACCCAGCAGCATTGACCGCGCAAGTGGAAGCTGAATTGCCAAGTTGGCTGCGAAAGGCAGTAGACACCCACGATAATGGGAAGCTCGTATCGGATAAGTTTCTGCATATCGAAAAGAGAGAGCAGAAACGAATGCAAGAGGCTTTATCCAGCAAAGTAGTCTACGGTACTCCAACTCCTGAGGTAGTCAATGTGGTACGGATTGCGGGTATAGAGAAGGGGTCAAAAAACCGGTACAACAGCATATGGCCATATGAGCACTCTAGAGTCAAATTACAGGGTGTCTCCGACGGTGCTTGTGATTATGTCAATGCGAATCACGTCCAGGCCAGTTGGACGAACAAGCGTTATATCGCAACGCAAGGTCCCCTACCTACTACCTTTAATGTCAGCTCTCCCCCATCTGGTAGAAGCGATGTTTGCTAACTCGTGTCTAGGATTTCTGGAATGTTATATGGCAGCAGGACGTGCGAGTCATCGTTATGCTCACAGCCGAGCAAGAGGGAGGGCAAGTCAAGGCGCATAACTACTGGGGAAACAATCAATATGGCCCTTTGCAATTGAAGTTTCTTGGCGAGCACCGAGCATCGCTAGAACTTTCTAAGATCCATCGTAAAGACAGACCCTCGCTGGGCCAGCGGCGTTCAACAAACCCGCCACAATTGGGAAGAGCACCGAAGGAGTCCCCATCCCCAAGCTTCGACTCGCCTTATGTTATTGTCCGCAAATTTACATTGTCCCACGCCGACCACCCATTTGCGCGCATGCGAGAGATCACTCAGCTGCAATATTCAAGCTGGCCTGACTTCGGCGCACCCGCTCACCCAGCGCATCTGCTTGGCCTCATCGAACAATGCGATGCGGTCGTCCGTCAGGTGAATGGTGGGCAGCCTTCAGGACCTGATCCTCCCAACAGCCGGCCCATTCTTGTGCATTGTAGTGCAGGTTGCGGCCGTACCGGCACTTTCTGCACTGTCGACAGCGTTCTCGACATGTTGAAGCGTCAAAGACAGGAGCGCAACACGCGTCAAGGTACCCCGATGGATGTAGACTCAAACCAGAAGAGCAATACCTTCCCTGGTGCTTCGGCAGTCGGAAGCAAAACGGAGATCATGGACGAGAGCGATCTTGTCGAAAAAACGGTCGAAGATTTCAGACTCCAGCGCCTCAGCATGGTCCAAAGCTTACGGCAATTCGTGTTATGCTATGAAAGCGTTCTAGAGTGGCTTGTCGAACAACAGCCAAAGTCGGCATAGGTATGCATAATGGTCTTTAACAGGCGACTGGATGTATCATGAATGAAGGTATGATGGGCATGGCATGGACGATTACGTTGGTCAACTCGAATTGAGTTTTCCTCGCTCATTGGGACGGCGTTATGTGCTTCAGAACGCACCTAGCATCTTATATACAAAGGAAGCGCAGTCATGCACAAGTCAGTGTGGAATGCATAGAATCTGGACCAAGTTTCTTTCTTAGCTACTCGCCTAGGCGCACTTTTATGTACAACAAAAACTCGACGACGTAATGAGCCACTGTAACCAAATTCAGAATTTCTAAAACTAGACTAGTATATAGATTATTTCATGCGTGACCACGCGTTTAGCGAAGACGCGCTCCGCCTCACTGACCCCTCCAATACTCTACATTTACAATTCACAATTCACCCTCCTGCCACCAAACAAGCCACTGGATCTTCCACAATTCGAGAAAAACTCTTTCCGACAGATCATAGCTCTCTTCACAGCCCACTGACCGACGTCCACCGCGCGTTCCTGGCCATCCGTGGGTGAAGTGCCGCTCGTAGAGAGTAAGGAAGGAAGCCCGCACTCTATACCTGTGACGATTATTCCCAAACAGCCTCGGGGCCATGGCCAACGTAGAGGACCCATATAACCATAGCCACCGCGCATTCCTACAAGCTTTCCTTGCGCATTCCGTACTCACTTTTGAGGAACTAAAACCTATTCTGGCTGCTATTCTATCGGTGCACGGCAAGTGAGAATGTGTATATGATGGTGGTACGTCCTGCTGATACTCTATAGACGACCGCGAGATCCTCCCTAACGACATCACCGAGCCTGATGTCTCGACCTTCATACACACTCTAAACTCCAAGCTTGCACCAGTCGACTACGAGATCCGACCAGCACGATCTCAAAAAGACCACTCTACCAGCTATGTGCTCGTAAACCTGACCTCGGACGCTGTCACCCAGCTTGCAACAACACACTCGCCGGACGAGATCGCTTTCGTGAAGCGGGTCTTGGACGCCATGTTCGAAACACACAACACGCACAAACATGAAGTCATGGCCATCACGAGAATGCAGGCGCGGCACCTGTCCAAACCTCCTCGTACCTCCGTTGCCAACGAAGATGGTGGAACACAGACTCAGAGTACAGCTGCGCACGGCCTCACACTCCCACAAGCAGAGAAAATGTTAGACGATATGGTTGAAGAAGGCTGGTTTGAGAAGAGTGCGGCAGGCTACTATTCCCTCAGCTCACGTGCGTTGGCGGAGCTGAGAGACTGGCTCAGGGAGACGTACAACGAAATGCCTGGAGAGGGCGACGATGATGAGGCTGTCATTAGAATCAGGAATTGTGAGGCATGTACGGAGATTGTAACTGTGGTAAGTATTAACAAAGTCCGCAGGCCTACTCTGCACGATTGCTAATCTGCTATTCTCTAGGGTCAGCGCTGTTCAAACCACGACTGCGGATGCCGGCTTCACGATATTTGCACACAACGCCTGTTCAGATCACAAGCTGCGAACACCCGGCGTTGTCCAAAGTGTAAGGAAGAATGGACTGGTAGGGACTTCGTGGGCGAGAAAGCCACAAAACGAAATGGCAGCTACCGTCAACACGGATCCACAGCATCCTCGAGGCAAATTGTTCAAAACGGATTAGGAAGGGACAGCAGCGAGGATGACGAGGAATAATTGTTGTGTTAAGCAGTAATACATGATTTATCCAACTTCAACCCTCTTAAAAAGGGATATAGCTTTTTTTTTCTAAAGCATCTGTGCGGCCTCCTCCGTGTGTTACAGTCCATGCAGTGAACTAATTCAGCTGTAGAACACATCTTTTTCAAGTGTGGTGCATTGGGTGGTATTTTGCGTACAGTAGGAAAATGAAATTAGCTTAGAAGCACGCAGCTTATAGCTCTATACTCTAGTAATATAATAGTAAAGTCCAGTTTCTAATTAGATTAGATTTAGTAGAGAAGTAAATATAAATATATAAATAAATAGAATAATAGAATTTGCTTTAAATTCTAAAGTGCGTAGTATAATACAATGCTAATATCGATTTTTAAATAGACTTTCTCCTAAGCAAGTAGAAATAGATAGAAAAATAGAATTTACTTAAAATTATATAGTATATAGCCCCTAGATACTGCTATTATATAACTAAAGCTAGTTTTTACTATAGGCTAAATTTAAGTATAAAATAAATAAATATTTATTAAAGGTATAGAGTTAATATAGAGAAAGATAGAACAGAGTTATATAAATAGATAGATAGAATTATATTGCTTAAGTTCTTCTTTTTATTAACGGCAGCGGAGTTGTATATATATATATACGTATAAGACACGATGCAATCGACCCTACAGCATCTTGGAAATACAACCCAAGGAGGGCCCCTAGGGGCTATCCAAGGCCCTGCGAACAATTGTACGCAGCCTCAAAGCCCTACGAGTAGTGCCGGCGGCGTCGCGGTAGGTACACCGCGAATTGCGACCCCTAACGCGCAGCCGCCCCAGCAACA